AAAAAATTAAGTTAACTTACTTAAATTTTCACCGTGGTCTTAAAAAATTCTAAGTCCAAAAACGCTTGCTAAATATAGAGAACTGTATGCTATTTAAATGGAAAGGGTGCGTCGATTTACCCAAATGGACCCAAATGAACCCAAATGGACCCAAATGGCGACCCAAATGGACCCAAATGGCGACCCAAATGGACCCAAATGGCGACCAAATGGACCCAAATGGAGTTATTTAAGACTCAGAGAGACCCCAAATAATGATTAAATAGGAATAGAGTATATGCAAAAAAGAAAAAAAATCATCAAAGAGGAAAGGGTTGTTAGCCGTTATTTAAATAGGCACGTTATACAATTATGAACATTTCGAACGTGTCTATTTAAATAACGTTGCCCAGCTCTTGCCACGTGGAGGCCACCCATAGAAAGAGCCACAATTTATGTTTTGGAAAAATATGCCAAAGTTCCGAATGATTATTTTCTTAAGAAATGTTCAAGTAAAAAAGGAGCATTGAATCAATAAAGAAAAAGAAAAATGCTTAATTAAACCATACTCTTTTAAAAAATATTCCAATTTTTTAAAGACATGTCTAAATTTGAAAATGTAGATCACAACATAAATGACCTAAATATCAAATCATCCATATAAAGTAACCAGAACATATTATTGTATGAGGCATGATGGAAACTATGTACAAGCACTAGTACTGAAATGAAGTGTAAATCTTATACGTAAAAAGAGCATATGTGTTAAAACATCCGTATAAAAAAAAACATATATTAGTTGAAACATATTAGCCTAAATATATGTACAGACTCCTGTACTACATTGAAGTACATGTATATATATAGACATATAAAAAAAACAACTATGTTATGTAATTGTTATAGAGACAGAGATTTATATATTTTCAAAAATATTTTTTTTTAGTAGTAGTGTTAGCCCCTGACATATATTTGTGCCGTTAAAAGTAATACTGTAATAATTTCAGAATTTCCAAAAATATATTTTATGTTTTGCTTAGAATCATCAGTATAACACATTGCGCACACAGAGAATATCATTAGCACATGTATGTTTTTACACTGTGCAATTGATAATTACATGTAATAAGCATAAATTATTGAAATAAAAAAAAAACCCAAGCTAATTAACAATCAATTATTAAAAATTGTGTTCATTAAATACATTATTTGAAAGCATCTATGTCTTTTTCGATTTCGATTAATTATAATGATTGAAACTAAAACTAAACTAATTAACTAAACTAATTAAGGCACTTACCTTTGCATGGCAGGATAACTTCCAAAGTAAAAAGCACAATTGAAAAAGACAGTGTTTTTATAGGATCCAATAGGTCTCATCATTAAGTTCTCAATTGTATCGAAATATTTGAGTGGTCAAACCATTTTACTAAACATTATTGGTTAATGAATTAATTATTTTCTCAGAAAAAATATAACTTTGTGAAACTCTTTCCGATTGGTAAGCTCCTTTATTTTAAAATAATTTAGTTGGACATTATGTTTGAAGTGATATAATGAATAAAGGAAATAATTTTTCTATAGCATATTTTGGTAGAAAATGTTTTGAAATAAATATAAAAAACATTCAGCAGGATTTATTTTAATTCAAATCACCACTACATTTTCAACAATATTTATATACAATGCAAAAATTATAAATAATATTATTCGTATTTAGACGCTTGAGGTCTTGTACTTTTATGAATGTATTCTGATTTTGGTATAAAGTCTATATATGTCCATTTGGGTCGCCATTTGGGTCCATTTGGGTCGCCATTTGGGTCCATTTGGGTCCATTTGGGTCGCCATTTGGGTCCATTTGGGTCCATTTGGGTAAATCGACGTGCCGAATGGAAATGTTAGTGTGACTCCGTGGTCTAGTGGTTAGCGATGAGCTCTTTAAAGGGACGTTTATTGAGGAAAGTGTTCGAGTCATGCTCTGATTTTTTTTTTTTTTTTTTGATTTTTTTTTGGATTTTTTTGGTTCTAATTTTGTTTTACTTTATAAAAAAATGTCTATAGGAATAACATATTTTTCACTGGAAATAAAATATATACATGTAGTAATGAACTTATTTACAGTAAATTATTCAAAATGCCGGATAAAAATTATAATAGATATTTGAATACTTTTATTCCCGTTTTATTTATTTTAAATAAAAGCGCTTCTAGATCACCATTATCATTATATACGATGTTAACATTTTTATAATATCTCCACAATAAGTGTAAACACTCAATATGCAGATTAATTATTAGAAGTCCTTACCCATGTTAGACATTTGTGACAGTAAATGAAAGTCAACTGTTTAGCTTGTTTAGAATATAAATATCATTTTGAAAACTACGGTAAACATTAAAATGCTTCAGTAAATTCGAACAATTGAGAGATTTTTTCCAATAAATGTTCTTGCATAGCCGAAAAATGGGCATGGGCACATGGCTCGTCTTATCCTCCCAGATTCTTTATTTGACAATTTTCCATCAAATCTCTTGTACTTTAATAGATGAGAATCAAACGCTCACGATAAAAAGCTTGCAATAACACTGAAGTCAGTATTCACACAAGGACACACATGTGTTGATAAAGAAAAGAAAAGAAAACATTTTTTTACCTTTGTTCGTGCTAAATATGGAATGCATACTGATTGTAATGAAATATGGAGATAACGAACAGTAATCTATGGCATGTCAAACGTTGCAATATTCGATCTTTTGCATTTGCATTGTATAATTTTCCATTTGCATTGTATAATTTTTATTTGTATTGTATAATTTTCTATTTGTATTGTATAATTTTTCATTTGTATTGTATAATTTTTATTTGTATTCTATAATTTTCTATTTGTATTGTATAATTTTCATTTGTATTGTATAATTTTTATTTGTATTGTATAATTTTCCATTTGCATTGTATAATTTCTTATTTGTATTGTAAAATTTCTTATTTGTATGCGATAATTTTTCATTTGTATTGTATCCGCGGACTGTTTATTTGTTTCGTTACGAAGGATTTCATTGGTCAAGTTTCAGCCTGTATCGGGTTGAAGATGTTCCGGATGCTCAAAGCAAACTGGGCTCATATGTATTTGCTTGCTTGATTGATTGATTATTGTTTAACGCCGAGTCGGCAATATTTCAGCCATATTTCGGCGGCATATGTATTTGCGTGCATGTTAGACGGTCATTGGATTCTAAAAAGGGAGCGCTGGTAGATGGCAAATAAATAATCTGTCCTTAGGAATGCTGACTGAGAAAATAAATAAATTGACCTTGAGTGGTGGTAACTACCCCCACCCCCAAAAAACTGAGTTTTCGGGTTTGGGCGGATTTTCTTCTTTTTGTTTTTCTCCTTGTCTCTGGTCATATTGGAAATAAATATTCTCTCCTGCGAGAGAATGAAAATAAATAATCGGATTCGACACCCCCCGAGAATCAAATGGTCGTCCCTTAGCATGCACCGCAAATAGAGGAGCCGAGTTTGTGTTTGTAGAGAGTGCGCGATCGGAATTGTGGGAAGGGTACCAGACTAAGTTTGTGATGGGCACCTGAGACCTTTATACAGACTAAATTTTATGACCAATGACATCCTTCGTAACGAAATAAATAAACAATCCTCGGATACAATACAAATGAAAAATTATCGCATACAAATAAGAAATTATCGCATACAAATAAGAAATTATACAATGCAAATGGAAAATATAGAATACAAATGAAAAATTATACAATACAAATGATTTTTTTTACAACACAAATGGAAAATATAGAATACAAATAAACATTATACAATCCAAATGGAAAATTATAAAATCCAAATGGAAAATTATAGAATACAAATAAAAATTATACAATACGAATTGAAAATTATACAATACAAATGAAAAATTATACAATACAAATGAAAAATTATACAATACAAATAAAAATTATACAATACAAATGGAAAGTTATACAATACAAATGGAAAAGATCGAATATTGCAACGTTTGACATGCCATAGTAATCAATCTCGAAAGTTCAAATAAAACAATACAAATTGACGTATTAATGCTAATAAGGAAATTAAAGGTACAAGAAGTGGATACAATTCCAAATGAATGTAAATGGAAGTCAAAAGATGGATATATATGCTATAGGAAGTATAATTTGCGTGGAGAATGAGCTTTTCACGTCACTTCTGACGCTATACACTATAGATATGTACTTACAGTGAAATGAATATATGAACATGCAATATATGGCAATATATTTTTTGGACAGTTTGCTTTTTAGGCCTAATGATAATTTTCTTTGATTTTTTTAGGGGGGGGGGGCTTTTTTTTAAATTTTTTTTTTTTTTTTTGGGGGGGGGGGTAATATTTGTTGTGTTTCTATGATTTTTTTTAATCTTCTTTTAATTATAATATGGTTTAAGATTTTTTTATGTATACATGTATAATTATGTATTTTTGAGTAACTTTTCATTGATCCGCTCCTTTAGATCGTTAAAATTGAGCGGGAAAACGCGCATTCCATTCTCAAATAAGGTGAATGAACTTGCTCAAATATTTTAGCCATATTTGCAAGATTCCATATCTACAACAATGAAATGGAAAATACAACAGATCTTTCATGTTGAGAAAAGACTCATAATTGTATGAATCAAAGCAGCGTATTTGTGATAATTACGATAGTTTAAAGAAGGTAAAGGGGGTATTGAGGTTAAATTCTGTCCAAATATTTTTATAATGTCTGAAGAATTATTGATTTTTTCTTAAATACTCTTTAATATATCCTAATGAACTGTCGGATAAGTTACTCGTTGCATCTTAGTGAAAAGGTTACAAAATAATTTTATATTAAAAAAATTTTCTCGACCTGTCCACCCCTTCAAAATATAGCACCGTCCTGGAGTATTACTACGCAATCAGAGTACTCTACGACACCCGTAATATTTTTCTGCACACGCTGGTATATAGTACTTTATATGTTTTCATCGTTTACATTGATTGACTGACCTTCTGCGCGATCCGCGGCATGTTGGAGTAAAATATTGATTTTTCTTTGCAGAGACAACTAGCATGTATCGTGTTTATGTGGGAAACCTTGATCAAGCCGTGGATGAAGGAACGCTGAGGGGCTTGTTCGAGGAGAACGGTATCGCGATAGGGACGATTCTAAAGAAGAAAAACTACGCTTTTGTTGACTGTGCAGACCAGTCTAACGTTGAACGAGCTATAAGTCAGTTGAATGGTAAGCAAAAGTGTAGTTTCTGCAAGGACATTGTCGATAAAACGAATAAACCGGCCTCTTGTATTACGAGCACATGGCCATTGTGAATCATTCAAGATGGCCGACGCTGGCAAAACATGTGGTCATGTATCGTCGAAGTAGGGTAAATTGAATAAATTTATGAATCCAAATTAAGGAACAAATCACTTCACGAGAGAGAATTGAATAATATTCAAAAATGTCAGAACTTATTATATATTTCAACCACCATTCTATAACCAAGTTGCAAACTACACGACGAGAATATAGATCTGCAAAGTATAAAACTTGTAAGTCAAAGTCACAGCATTTCAAGTACAAATATTTTAGGATTTAAGGCTAAACAGAAGGTGCAGCTGAGATTAAAAGAGGGCCAAAATATGTGACGTGTAATTTTGGGGATTCTGCATCATTTTTAAAGGTCCCAAGTCTGAACATACCAAGAAAGCTGTGGTTCTACCGGTAAAAAAAAAAATAATAATAAAAATTGTTAATTAATGATAGAAGTGTTTTAGTGTTTATAACAAAAGTAAACAAGCAACCTGTGAACCTTTAATCTCATATATACTGGGATTGCATTTCATTCAAGGAATCAATTTGTAGAATTTCGGTTGGTATCAAGAAGGTTCGTAGCACACTATGAAGTTTCATGGTCAGAAATTAGAGATCTATATTAAATATTTATTTTAAAGAAGCACTAGGCCTAATAGTTAACCCAGAATTTGTAATGCATCACATTCAACTAGCAGGCAATTTTATTTTAATTGATTGCCTTAATTGAACAGCAGTAATTCAATGATATATACTGTATTTTCAGATTATAACCTTCTTGGGTCCGTCATGCAGGTAGAACAATCCACATCTAGAAGAAGGTACCCTGACGAGTTAGTGTTTGTTTTGTTTTTCACTTGTTTTTGTTATTGTTGGCTGCTATTGTTGGCTCTCTAGTTAAGTTAGTGTCATATAGGTATACATATATATATGTATATCTGAAAGGCATTTAATTGTTTTTAATATATTCATGTAAAGTAAGTTGTTTTCACAGTTTTGCTGTCCAAATATATAACTTTCACATTTTGACAGTTCAGTCATGGAGACAAAAATAGATTCAGCGATTATAGATGACTAGAGTTCCCAAATGAATTATGACAATGAGACAATCATGTTGTTAATTTTAACATGCTTTTCTTATAATGTAGATAAACGAAAATAATCAGGAAAAGATCCATCCTTGGTGAAAAAAAAACAATCGATCTGAAATTCGATATTTTTCTGGGACATGTCATTTTGTCAATTTTTCCAAATTCTCATTCCCCCGTTTTTAATATAGCCAGCAAATAACATGAGAATGTATCTGTTGCAGCCGCAGTGTTATTTCTGTAGGCTTAACATTGGTGTTCTTTAACTGCTCTTGTTGATAGTTTCATTATGTCAGTAACATTTATACATAATGGGTGTTTTCTCAATCATCTGGTTTTGTAGCTTTTTCTCTCTTTCTCAGAAGAATAGAAAAATCTCAGCTTTAGTTAGATTGAGGTCAATAATGTTTATAAATATCTATAATAAAATCATACAATTCCTTGTAGAAAGAATAATAAAATTCAGATCCAGAACCTGCCCGTTCACATCAAGAGAGACGAAGTAGAGGCCCTGGTGTCTGGTCTGGGCAATCTACTAAGGTGTGAACAAGGTTAGTTCTTAAAGTAACTCAATAGCTCACTTAAAATCTTTTTTTTTAATTAAAGTTAAATGGTCATTCATGAAGCATTTTATACCTCAAAACTGAAACATTTTATTGCATGTTGAAAAAAGGTTGGAAATTCTTTGTAAGGATTTGGTTATTGATGGGATCTATAAATTTTTATGTAAAAGCAGCATGTTAGATCTATTTTAAAAATGTGATATTTTTGAATCACTGATCTTAAAAAATTTGTTTTACTTCTTAAGGAGCTGAAGGACTTGTGTATGTAACATTTGAGACACACGAACAGGCACAGCAGTAAGTATAGATTGAGAATGTTGTCACATTGAATATTTATTAGTGTTGACTATTTACTGTGTAAATATTGCCTTCAGTTGTCTTTATTCTCTCTCTTCAGGGCAGTATCATCCCTAAATTGTTTAGAATACCAAGGAATGGGTCTAAAGGTAAATATTTAACCATAATTATAAGACCAGGGAACATAAACTGGCAAGATTGGAAATATGCAGCTGTCATTTCCATCTGTTACAGTCAAAACATTTGATGATAGACAATGAAATGGGTGGGTAGAATTTAGTGGTGTTCCAATCATCGATTATAATCGAAAATCAGTGGATTGCTGGCATAATCCAGGTGCTCGATTACAAAATGTTTATTCCGATTAATCAGGTTATTAGTCCCCTACCGGTGAAACCGGAGGGGACTATAGGTTTCCTCTGAGTCTGTCCGTCCGTCTGTCTGTCTGTCTGTCCGTCTGTCTGTCTGTCTGTCCCTCTGTCTGTCAGTCTGTCCCACTTGGTTTTCCGCACTTTTTTCCTAAACGCTTGCAGATATTGAGCTGATTTTTGGTATGTGAGTGTATCTTGATGAGTTACAGATCAAGTTTGCATTTCGTTCCGCTTCATTGATTTTTGACGGAATTACGGCCTTTTAAATTTTTAAGGGTTTTCCGCAATTTTCTTCTAAACGCTTGTAGATATTGAGCTGATTTTTGGTATGTAGCTTTACCTTGATTAGTTATAGATCAAGTTTGCATTTCGTCCCGCTTTATTAATTTTTGACGGAATTATGGCATTTTCAATTCTTAACGGGAACCAGATTACACTTGCCGGTAGGGGACTAGTATTGCTAATGCAATACTCTCAGAATGCTTGTTTTTTTTATTGTACAAGTGTAATAGTTTTTAAGCCGAATATTCCATCCGCAACTTATCTATTAACTTATTTGTGTATCGCAATGGCACAGACAATCAGACAATTGTCTTTATATCTGGGTAACAACGCTTATTCCTGGGTACAGACGTACTTTGGATTCTTCAAAATGAACGAAGAACCAGCTGGATCACCACAGAAAGTAGTTATTCACCCGTTCTTACCATTTAATAAACTAAATAGACAGACTTTGTAAATGTCCGATTATAATTGATAATTAGTTAGTTACAGTAGCCCGATCATCGATTATGAAATTCTTACTGATTCCCATCACTAGTAGAATTTGACACGGACGTCTGAGAAAACATTAGATAGAAATTCTAGTTCAAAATTCATTTTCAGTCCACCTGAGCTATTCTCACACAAAGTGAAAATGTATGATCTGTGGTCTTGCATATTTAATACCAGAAATTGACAAAGAACATGCTGTTGTGCACATTGTAAATTTTGTTTTAACGCTGATAAAACAGTTTCCAAGGTATTTTCGTATCAATTGTTTTGGAATTTTGAGATTTTTATGACGTCGAGCTCTTGGAGCTCGAATGTCATCTAGCGATCGGCCAAGTGAAATCGCCAAGGGATGTACGCGACCGAATGTGTCAGTGGATGCATCCGCAATAGAAAATAGCAATAGCTATAAACTAATTTCTTTTAAAACGCTCACAATGAATAATTATAGCTTGAAAATGAAATTGCATCAATTGTATCTACAATTAATTCTTTTACAAAACAACGATATTATGTTTTATTTTCACACAATAAAAACGTGATGGTTGTTGCGGATGAATTTCTACAGAAAGGTGCGTCGAATGACATGAATAACATTTTGGAACGATAACCGTGGAACACAAACAACCCAACAGGCGGTAAAATAATTTACAAAATTACATAAACACGAATACTATAAGACTGAAAAGATTGAATTTGTAAATCTTAGCTTTACTTTTACAATCTTCTGACCAACTTTATCCTAAAAACCGATGATGTTGACCAGTATTACTGTATTTCTCTATTTCCTCCATTTCCCAGTATACCGTATACCACGCCCGATCGTAATTGTAACAGAACAGTCTTGGTTGTAGTTTAGATGCAATCACTAATACAACGCTTTGACATTGGCAATTAGAAAAAATATTATATAAATTTATGAAATCCTTCATAGTTCTTCAACTGACTGAAAAGAATTTAGCATGAAACATGTTCGACGGTGTCTGGTCAATTCGAACCCTGCTCCATTCGGACCATGACATAAGGCCCCAGACTGTAATTGTGATATTTTGTTTAAAACTATTTTTTTATTATTTCTCCTGAGTCACTCACTTGACTTATTGCTATCTTCAAATTCAAAATGATCTTTTGAAATTGTTTTTCTTCTTCGACGTCATTGAAGCCTTTCAGGCTTTTGATTTTTCTGGTTGAAGGTGGAGTTGGCAGGAGGAGGAGGAGCGGGCCACAGAGGAGAGGGAAATAATCGACTTCGTAGAGGGGGGCCCAGAATGAATAATCAGAACCCAGGAATGAACCGTCAAGAACTCCCTCTTAGGTACGCAGGTGAAAGGTGTTTTTTTTTTTTTTTTGTAATTGTATTTCATTGACAGCCAAATTTTTGTTATCATTATGCAACTGTAAAGTTAGGTAGAGTGAGCTTCAGTGTAGGTGCAACAGAAGTGTTTATTTCTTGAAAATTTTCTTGTGATATAATTTCCCAGTTAGTGTTAAAATGGCATTAAATTCCCAATTCCGAGGGCCTAGGCCCCTTTCCTGAAATTATATGGAAAATCCATGGTCTTTTCGTCAAGCGCACAAATGTAAATCATAATTATGATTTTATAACAACACTTAATATAGTGTTCAGTACATACAAAACTGTGATGAGTTAATAGTCTCGTTCGTATGATTTTTGAAAAGATTATTCAAAGACTCTTAGTTTTGTTTTGCTGTTCCCCCCCCAAAATGTTTTAAAACGTTTGCATTGTTAATAAAAATGGAAATGTTGAACTGTAGACTCGCCTTAATTTTTTATCTGCTTTTAGTCGTATTTAAATTTTGAAATCCCTATTTCGTTCAAACGTTAAAAAGAAGATATTTACAAAAAAAAAACTTGTTTATAGGCAGTCTTTAGGACGTGATATTTTAGTCTGATTAAAGGGAGGGATGGAACTTCAAATTCAAGATTTCCTAATATATTTGAGTTTTGTATAAGCAATTTTTACTGTACTTGGATATAATGCATAGTTCTTTTCATCCCCATGGAAGATAAAATATCTTACAAGATTATTTCTTTTACATGAGTTAAAAAGCATTCCCAATTCATGCTTTGTTCTTTATATGCATGCCTGAATGTGTCAGTAAACTTAGTATTTTATGTAGCTCATACATGCATGTTACACAATTTGGTAGATAGGTGACCTTTCATTTGTAAAGGTAAATATCAAATGTTTTTTTGCAGGATAAGCTAAGAATGAATTTGATTATTGGATTATTTGAGAATAAACATAGTAAGCGGAGTATATATACATAAAGCACTGGATTATGAGTTCTGGATATTGCATATACCTTCACAATGTTCAATGAGGACAAAACAATGATGAGCTAAATAGTCTCGTTCGTATGATTTTTCAGAAATGATTACACAAAGACTCTGAGTTTTGTTGTAGTGAACACATGCTGACAAAAAATAGAGACCTCAGAAATTTTGTAGAGACTTCAAATGATTTCTATACTGTAAATTTAAACTTAACAAAGTTGAGGGATATATTGAAATAAAATGAGATTTCTGTTGGATGGATAGGGGTTTCAGTAAATTTGTCTGTTTCTGGATACTGTAGATTCCTAGATATACGAGAGGAATTATTTATTGCATAATTTCGCAAGAAGCACTACTCACGAAATGAAATTACTCTCTTTCATTTTTATGGTGCTGAAATCCATGTAAAATCTCTAGATCATCCGTCCACCCGCCAATTATTGTTCTCGCGATTTGACATCTAAGGACTGTTTCACGATATTTAGTATGTAAAATAAGGAATCGTTCTGCCTTGCTGCTTTGCCTCATGTTTTGTTTATATTTAGATAACTCATACATAGATTCTTATTAAAATCAAACAATAATGTGCTGTTTTGTTTTCACAGAATACTGGTAGGAAGTGAGTATGTTGGAGCCATCATTGGAAAACAAGGGCAGACAATTCACAACATTACCTCAGAAAGCCGTGCTAGGTATGCTTTCCTTAACTCTAGCTCTGCCTTTAGATAGTGTGAAGGGGTTATCTTTAGGTCAGAAATATACAACTATTGATCAGAATTTATTGGTAGAGTAAGGTGATGATTGGAATTGTAATTCAGAAATGAATTATGAAGATCTGGTCCGCCCCAGTCTGATTTCTCTGCTGGTAGAATGTGATAAGATTGAAATTAATGGCAGTGTTATTGCTATATTTTGAGGAATAATGTAGAAATATATTCATTTATTTTACAGAGTTGACATTCATAGGCGAGATGGTTTATCAACTGACACAGTAAGTAAAAAAATAATGTAAAAACAGAACATGACTAAGCCAACAAGCATTATCATCTATTTGGAAGAAGAAAGGATTACTGACAACATTGGGGGGGGGGGGGGGGGGGGACTTGTGACATTATGGGTCAGCGGGTCCATGAACCATTATATGTGTAAAACTTTTAGCTTGAAAAAGAGGTTTCAGAGTGCTTGTTACTTGGCATACATGTACATGTAGTTGAAATGTTGCCTTTTCAACTGATATAGCATGATTTAAAGATAATTTAGAAAATGTTAATACATGAATTTGACTGAGGTATTTAAGACTATGTAGTGAGTGATGAATATGAAGAGGATATTGATATGAAACCGAATGTTCAGAGAATGAAGTTCATATGTTTGTCATTTCAGCTGGTTACAATTAAAGGAAGCCCAGAAAACTGTTCTAAAGCTTGCAAAGAAATAATGAAAATCGTGGAAACTGAAGCACAGTCCCTAAACAAGGGGTAATGAGTCTGTGTCTGCAATAATTTTAGAAGTTGAGAATTAACTGAATAATGTGCAAAATGTTTATTTGTAAGTGAAACTAACTATTTTATTATATTCAATTTAAAGGACCTTTACTCCTGCATAGAAATTTTTAATGTTCATTACAACTTTCAAGGGGAAGTTCAACTGTTTTTGATAGTACCTTTGTGTATGGGAAGTATTACTAGTTTTAATGAAAATAAGCAGCATGAACGGCTATGTTTTATAATAGAATTAAATCAATGAAGTTTTGATTTCATCATTGGGAAACTTACTTGTTGACATTTTTCTTATAAACAAATATGGTCTCTTTGTGTTTATCTTCACATTTGTTGAAATTTTTTCTTTTTAACAAATATGGTGTGTTTGTGTTTATCTTCACATGAAAAATGAAAACATTTACATTTTGGTTGATTTAGATCTGTATTAAGTTTATTTTACGCCGTTATTGAAATTGGAAATGTTGAGATGATGATTGGATGAAGTCAGAAAATGAGTATGTTGACTTATTAATCCGCCCCAGTCTGATCCACAAAGTCTGTAATACTCAAAGGCATTTACTTCATCTTGGCACCATTCTCACAAATTTTAGAGAGCTTTAGATAGTGCTGTTGATTAATTTCTAGTGAGCCACCATTGAAGATCCTTTGCCCTAACAGCCTTTGTGGTAGAATCATTGGAAAACAGGGAAACGTCATCAAGAGTTTTATGGAGCAAACGGGTACACACATTGTTGTTTCGAGGTAAATACTTGTTCATGCTTATAAATAACCACAGACTTAATTGTACCTCAGCCTAATTTTAACTATGAAGGTATAATAGAATGGGTGACAGAAAATGTAACTTGTAAAATAATGAAAAAGTGAATGATTTCCATTAGGTTCTCTATAATTTATCACTCCAAGAAAAACTCATGATAAAAGCAAGATTCATTGCAACCTGCAAAACCAAAATCCAATTTGTAATAAATAAAGAATGTGTTTCATATAACATAGCATAAGTATTGAGATATGAAAATGTGCTATGTTGGTTGATTTACATGGTACGTGTTTTTCAGTGCGACAGACATGAACAACTTTTTCGTGGATCGTGTGATTACCATTACTGGAAGTCCAGAAAATGCATCTAAAGCAGAGGCTTTGGTATCCGAGAAAATGAGGAAATGTTTTGAACAAGATGCTCAAAACTATAATGTAAGTCATCCACAGCTAATTTGAGTAATGACCCACTGCTAATTTGACATGTTTTTAAAAGGTTTCTAAACACAATCTTTCAGCATATGTTGTTTTGGCACATCGGTTTTAATTTTCATGTGGAGTATGTCTCATGCATGTACTTCTGTGTGCATTTCCAAAATTATGAATACTAGGTAAATTTAAAAATTTAAACAATGGTGAAAGCAATAATACAGTATTAAGTTTCAATACAAAATGATTATCAATGTATTATGAAGGACATCAAATGGAATAAAGTTGCAACCATGTAACACAAACATTATTGCAAGATATAATTGTGTTTAGTAATAATACTGGATTATGTATGGATTAAGAACTCGTGGCATGGTCATGTTTTTCAGACACAGATGGGCATGTTTGGTGGTATGCCTCCGATGCCCAACATGATGCCCCCATACAACTACCAAAGAGGACCATCGTATCCCCCATACCAGATGGTAAGTTACCTAGCATATGTAGTATACATTATAATTAAATACAAAAGTCAATTCAAAAAAGTATTTTTAACATTCAAAACACCGTTCATTTTGGCTTGTTATTCAAGGAAAAGAATAGTTTTAATTTTAAATAATTTTATAATAATTTTTATGTCATTTTTATAATTTTAAAAAGTGACAAAAATGTGTTAGTCTACATGCATGTAAAATAAAATGAACTTAAGCTGCTAGGAAGCTGGAAGTTGTATACTGGACATTGCATTTGAGAAATTATTGTTAAACTCATGGTTTTGTGATATCAAAATCCTCCTGTTTTGTGAAGTAAAAATTTTTATGCCCCGCCATGAATATGGCCGGGGCATATAGTGTTTGTCATGTCCGTCTTCCGTCCTTCCGTCCTTCTGTCCTTCCGTCTGTCCTTCCGTCACACTTTGCGTTTAGCTCTGTTCAAAGCTCAGTTTCAAAGATACCATTCAAGATATTTTTATCAAACTTCATATGCTGATAGATATTGATGAGAGCTATGCAACTGCATCAACATTTTTTGACCTTGACCTTTCCTTTGACCTTGACCTCACTTTTCTTAAATTAGTGTTTAGCTCAGTTTTAAAGATACCATTCAAGGTAGTGTAATCAAACTTCATATGTTGATGCATACTGATGTAAGCTATTCAACTGCATCAACATTTTTTGACCTTGACCTTTCTTTTGACCTTGACCTCACTTTTCTTAAATTAGTGTTTAGCTCAGTTTTAAAGATACCATTCAAGATAATGTAATCAAACTTCATTTGTTGATACATACTGATGTAAGCTATTCAACTGCATCAACGTTTTTTGACCTTGACCTTTCTTTTGACCTTGACCTCACTTTTCTTAAATTAGTGTTTAGCTCAGTTTTAATGAAAGCATTCAAGATATTTTTAACAAACTTCATATGCTGATACATAATGATGAGAGCTATTCAACTGCATCAATATTTTTTACCTTGACCTTTCCTTTGACCTTGACCTCACTTTTCTGAAATAAGTTTTAGCTCAGTTTTAAAGATACCATTCAAGATAGTGTTATCAAACTTCATATGCTGATACATACTGATGAGAGCTATTCAACTGCATCAACATTTTTTGACCTTGACCTTTCCTTTGACCTTGACCTCACTTTTCTTAAATCAGTGTCAAACTTCATATGCTGATACATACTGATGAGAACTATTCAACTGCATCAATATTTTTTGACCTTGACCTTTCTTTTGACCTTGACCTTACTTTTCTTAAATTAGTGTTTAGCTCAGTTTTAAAGAAACCATTCACAATATTTTTATCAAACTTCATATGCTAATACATACTGATATAACCTTTTCAACTGCATCAACATTTTTTGACCTTGACCTTTCCTTTGACCTTGACCTCACTTTTCTTAAATTAGTGTCAAACTTCATATGCTGATACATACTGATGTAAGCTATTCAACTGCATCAATATTTTTTCACCTAGACCTTTCCTTTGACCTTGACCTCACTTTTCTCAATTTGTGTTAAAATGTTGCATTACTAATATACCCTCGGCGGGGCATTCATGTCCTATGGACATATTTCTAGTTTTAAGTTCTGAAACTAGAGAATCTGTATGGGGGAAAATCAGTCCAAGAAAGTATAACTGATACTTAACCCTAGTAGCGCTATATAAAATACACAGTGTTAGTGCTCTGAGCTGAATATTTTTGCCTGCATTGGGGTGCATTTGTTTAAGCAATTTAATTCAGATTTTATTGAAAAAACATAGACATATTATACATCAAAATCTTCAGCAGAGATAGGACTTCAATATTTTGATAGCCAGTTTTCATTCTTTGGATAAATAAATAGGTAATTTACAGGTAAAGCGAATATATTATAAATAACACAACTTTTTCTTCATGCAACTAAACTTTTATTCATATTTATTCACTAAGATGCTTACTGACGGTAATACAGATAATTTTTAATACAGGGACATAGTTTTGGTACAACTTTTCAATGTTTGTGTAGTCACATCGTAAGAAATACCTTCGTCAAAAGTTGGAGTCCGCCATTGTTGATTTTACCTTGATGTGGAATCTCAACATTTGCTGTATTTCTCTCTTAATCTGGCTTCTTTAAACTATTGTTTTCATTAGTCATGATATGATTGTCTTTATTTCTGTTGAGTTTATATGAAATAAAATACTTAGGATCGTTTTTTAACTCGGACATATCGAAGTCTAAACCCGTGAATCCAACCTTGGCATGGGCCGATCGCCGTCTAGCAAATTTCACATTTAAAACATGTTTAGCATAATCTTCCTCTTAGAAAATGTCGAAAACATCTTGTAGTAAATATCTATCAAGTTTTCAACCGCGATTTTAGTCTCTAAACAAGTTTACTAGCACATTGAAAAATGTTTTCTTGAATACGCCGCCATTTTGAATCACGCGGAATAAACATGACCTTTTCACCTGTCTAAATTTACACAACCAATCACATTTCATCTAAGTAATGGATTTTTTTATTCATTCAAACCTATTACCAAATAAGGAAAGTGCTTTTATTAGACAAAATTTCCATTGGCCGCCTAAAATAGCGGTTTCAAAATATCGTTGCTGTCACCCGGAATATTCCGGGGTCAGCTCACAGCACATGGCTTTGTTTACCGGAATATTCCGGGTTCAGCACTACTAGGGTTAATTTTGTCAATTTTTAAGCTGTTTTAAGTGATTTGCTTGAGCAGAGAGATTTTAGTGACCTGTAACATACAAGGCAATTAACAAATGAATTTTCCTCTGAATAACAACTGTTTCTGTGTTCCTTTCATTGTTATGAAATATTTTATTTTTTCAAATAAAGGAGAAAAAATGAAATGGATGTAAACTTATATTCTGATGGATTCTTTAGCAGCAGGGTGATGGGTTCTACTACAATCAAGGTCCACCCCAGCAGGAACTTGAAGTGACTTTCTTATATATCCCAGAGAATACTGTGGGAGCTTGTATAGGCAGCAAGGGATCCAATATTAAAGAGATCATGAGATTATCTGGTGCTAGAATTAAGGTATGTGTGTATGTTGAGTGGCAGAGTCCGATAGAATCAATATCTTGAACAAAATGGGATCTAATCTCCTTTCCTCTTCTCAAATTTGTATATACTGTATATAGAGTCACAAAAGCGCCCCATGTTATTTTTGCCCTTTCACACTTGCAAAAAATTTTCGCTGTTTTAGATTCACCCAGATAAATTGTGTTTAAGAGATAATGATTTAGGCTTGAATTTTTGCTCATTTTAAATTCGCCAAGAGGCAACTTGCAACAAAGGGTGATGGGGGCGAAAAATGAAATTGGGGCAAAAATTTCCATGTATACAGTATAGGCTTTCTTCTCATGTTTGTTTAAAAGTCATTTTTCTCGAAGGGAAAATGTTCATTTGCATAGAAGATAGAAGGGTACTGAACATTTTGAGAATTCCTGCAAATAATTTATGAATTTGACACTTTTTAGCTCACCTGAGCTGAAAGCTGAAGTCAGCTGAACATGTATCTGAACAAAATTCAAGTAAAGTATTGAAACTGTGTTGGACGATTTGATAATGTATATAAGGAACATGTTCGGAATTGGTTATGAATGATGATTGGATAAAGTCAGAATATTTTTATGTTGATTCTGACATTCCGCCCCAGTCTGATTAACACACCTCTTCCACCCGTGTACTCTCCTTAATGAATTGCAGTTTTAAAAAATGCCTGTGAATTCAAACATGTTTCATTATTTTTCTATTCAAGTAATGGTATTCAGCAATACTATAATGTAAACTAACTTGTAAAATTAAAAAAAAAATAACATTTTCATAAAAAACAAATTATCGATGACTGTTCAAAAGATATACATGTATCTTAAGAAAAAAATGTATCTACAAGAAAGAAACAGAGACTGAGAGCCATTTTACTAATGATAACCCATGGTTTAACTCCTTCATCTAATGATTTAGTAATTGCACGGATCTTGTAGATTGAAAATCCTCAGCTCCTTCCTGGAAAGAATGGTGAGATGAACGGTGAGAGGAAAGGCCCCTCCCCACCAATGGAGGAGAGAAAAGTCATCATCACCGGAACTGCCGAGGCCCAGTGGAAGGTGAGAAAGAGTGCACCTGTTTACCTGTACTGTTTGTCTTTATAACGGTATGCAATAACTGCTCTTTTTTCGGTCAGTACGATGATTTAGCCACCTGAGAAGTACAAGATTCACTAAGCCCAAAGGGAGAGTTATATATTGTACTTTGAAGGGGAATAATCATTGTGTTGACTGAAAAAACAGCAATAATTGTTTCATTTTATGATTCAGTGATGCAAACTTGTTTAAAAAAAACTTATCTTTCTTGATAGTTGACGTTTGTTCAAGTCCTAGCAAAAAGCAAGAGAAAAGCAAGATAAACATAATCAGTTGATACAAGTAGTAATTTGGAATTTCTTAACGTATTTCCGATGTGGTCGAGACAAAGGTAAATGACATGTTCACCTGAAAGTAGAATGCAGATGAAATAACTTTTTCATAAGTAATTGAATCAATTTAGGAGGTCTTGATCTGGTTCTTTTTTGGTCCAAAGGAAGAAAAGAATTATCTTCACCTAGAAGGTTAGGTGCAGGTGAAATAACTTTTCATAACCAATTATATCAATCTGGAAGTTCTTAATCTATTTTTAGACCAAAATAGAAAAAGTAAATACTTATGTTTACCTGGAAGTTCATATGCAGGTAAACATAGCTTAGTATGATATCTAGAATCTTGGATCTTAGCCATTTAGAGAGCTAAGAATTATTCAGTCATATGATAATTATAATATTTTCTTGATACTACATTGTATATATTCAACTGCAATGTATTTCATCAAGCACATGAAATGATAATACCCATGTAGAGCAAAATTCTGATTCTTTATATGAGAATAGGGTATTTAAGTCGACTAAATTGAGAATAAAGATTATTAAGTTGACCAGTTTGAGAAGAAAAAGAACAAGTCTCAATAAGGCTTATCTGTGGTCCAGGGTTACTCGTCAAATTTTGAACATTTATTAACATTTTTAAAAATTAAATTTTATTATTAACTAAAGTCTTTATTATTTGAATCATCATCTAAAAATGTCAAACAATAGATATAGGCCGCATACGAAGCTGCGCCTTGAAGGTAGGGTCCTTTTGACTTTCATGAATATCAAAAGAAATCAGTGACAGGTACACACTTCAAAGCTTTCGTAAACACCGAGCACAGGTTTGTTCAGAGTCGAGTTTGAAATATAATGTGTATATTATATGTGTAAAGGTTGAGTGAAAATATCTTTAATGAACAACCTTGTGCTCTATGTTTTCTAATTAAAAGTATTGTGATTTTGAATCTCTTCGCTGACTTCATTTACATGCGATTAACCTCTTTATGACCTGTTTAGAATCACGACAAGCCACATGGATTTGTATCGTTACGGGTAAATGCCCCCAGTAAAAGTGCTATTTCTCAGTTGAAACGTACTCAGTTTTATATCGATCAGCATGGACTTGTTTAGTTCATCTTGTTATAGCTTTTATTGCCAAAGTTTTGTAAATGGAAAATTGTATTTGTAGTTGATTGTGAATCTTGAACATATTATTCGTCTTTGGAAAAAAATATCATACCAAGATCTTCTTTTTATAGTATCTAATCTAAATGTCTCCGCCCATTTCCATGTAATAGAGAAACCATAGTCTGATCGGGGTAAAATGTTCCGGCATTTTTAGTGCGAAAGGTGTTAAAAATAGCCTTGTATTTTTTGATATGTTTGATTCTTCATTATAAATACACAATGTTTTAATTAGAATTACTTCATTATACACAATGAAAATGAACAAAATACTGTATGCTAATATTTAACCGGTAAACCAAGGGTGTAAAAAGGGACCACACTACTATGCTTAAGTAGAATACTCCTTTTATATCGTCAGCAGGAGTCACGTTGTCTAAATCAAGTTTTGTATTGAATCAAAAAGGACATCAAGTTTATAAATCTATTTATACAGGCATCCTTTACAATGTAAATAATATTTTAATACTATTTGTTGACTGTTTTGCAGGCCCAGTTTTATATATTTGACAAGATTAAGACTGAAGGAGGGTTTCAGAGAATAGAGGAAGTCCACCTAAGGTCAGAGGTCATGGTCCCTAGGAGTATGATTGGACGAATTATTGGGAAAGGAGGACAAAATGTAAGCATTGAACAAATTACAACAGACAGAATCATTTGTTGTTTGAATAATAGAAATTTCAAATATAGTATTATTATACAAGCTCTAGAATGAAAGAACATGTATATGAATAGAATTAAATGTGCACTTAAATTTGCATGTTTATTTCATGACCTTGTAGACTAAAGCTTTGGTATGAGTTCTTCTTTGTTGTACTGTATACCAACTTTGATTCTTGAATCTTGATATCTGAATTTCAGAGGTACATGTAAATCTAAATTAAACCACTTGTTTATGTCAATAGGTGACAAATAACGAAAAGAATTACAAATTGATTTTATTGTATAATTATTCACATGAATATAGAAGTTGGTATACAGGAAGTGGAATTAAGAACAACTTAGAATTTTACAGTTGGCAGGATATTAAATAGGACATTGCAAAATTTCCCAGTGTTCAGCAGAAGTTTATATTCAATTATGACGAGTTGCAGTCTTCTAAAAATTTTGTTCTTATTTATTCGTGTTCAGATTTCTTATGTTGTTTGAACTGAAAGGAAAGAAATATGTTCTTGAAGACAAACCTTGGTTTTATTATGCCCCGCAATGAATATGGACGGGGCATAGAGTGTTTGTCATGTCCGTCTTCCGTCCTTCTGTCCTTCCGTCCTTCCGTCTGTCCTCCCGTCACACTTTGCGTTTAGCTCTGTTCAAAGCTCAGTTTCAAAGAAACTATCCAAGATATTTTTATCAAACTTCATATGCTGATAGATATTGATGAGAGCTATGCAACTGCATCAACATTTTTTGACTTTGACCTTTCCTTTGACCTTGACCTCACTTTTCTTAAATTAGTGTTTAGCTCAGTTTTAAAGATACCATTCAAGATAGTGTAATCAAACTTCATATATTGATACATACTGATGTAAGCTATTCAACTGCATCAACATTTTTTGACCTTGACCTTTCCTTTGACCTTGACCTCACTTTTCTTAAATTAGTGTTTGGCTCAGTTTTAATGAAACCATTCAAGATATTTTTAACAAACTTCATATGCTGAAACATACTGATGAGAGCTATCCAACTGCATCAGTATTTTTTACCTTGACCTTTCCTTTGACCTTGACCTCACTTTTCTTAAATAAGTTTTTAGCTAAGTTTTAAAGATACCATTCAAGATAGTGTTATCAAACTTCATATGCTGATACATACTGATGAGAGCTATTCAACTGCATCAACAATTTTAAACCTTGACCTTTCCTTTGACCTTGACCTCACTTTTCTCAATTTGTGTTAAAATGCTTCATTACTAATATACCCTCGGCGGGGCATTCATGTCCTATGGACATATTTCTAGTTAGTCTTAAAAGCAGTCACAAATCTTGCGAAAAAAGTGTTCATATTGCATCCAAAATTGTTTAATTGACAACTTTCTAGCTTACATATTTTGAGAGTATTTAGCATGCAGATTGTAACCATCATGCCTGCTTTCAGCATCTTTATTTACCAAGATTTTCTTTCTTGCTAGGTTCGGGAAATGCAGAGAGTAAGTGGTGCAATAGTGAAAGTTCCTGACCAGAATTCACAGAGCCACCAAGAGGGCGATATGGAGGTGGCAGTTTCTATTATTGGACATTTCTATGCTATGCAGCCAGCCATTAGAAGAATTAGGTCACTGGTAAATCCCCGTCCCCCACAGGGTCCTGGACTTATGCCTGGCCAACAAAGAAGATTACAACCAAGGCCACAGCACAATGGGAAGTAAATGTTCCAAGTCGGTTGTGTGTTCATGGAAGGGATTGGGGACAGTTCAATTATAGGTGTTCAACATTAAGGATGAATGCTATGTTTTATGAAGTAGGAAAGTATGATGGGTTTGTTTTGAATTCATCATTGAGAGATATTTTCGACATTTCCAAGTTGCCAAAGAATTTTTAGTTTGCATTGGAAATTAGTTACTGGCAATAATAAAAAAAATGGAAGCAAAAATATTGGTTTTTGAGGGGGAGGGGTAGGAAATCTATATTTTTTTTTAAAAATGTAAGATATATTTTTACAAAAGGGCATTACCTGCACGTATAATTTATGAGATTTAATGCATATAGAAGTGCTTGACTTGAAATGATTGATGACATCTAGGGAGTAGAGGTATGTTTTTAATGGTTGGGTAGGATGGCTTGCCTTTTGTTGCATGCCTGGGGTAGGAACAAATGTTTATTAGGCCAGTATTGATTTTTTTTAGTATTGGCCATTTTTTTTTTTTTTGTAATAAATTTATTTTTGATACTTGTTGACAGAATTTTTTGTTAGAATTTTTATGACCTGTTGAAGGACAAACTTTTTTTATTGTCCATTATATTGAATAAAAAAAAGAATGAAAAAAGAATATCTTTATTTCCAGCTAGACATTCTATTCAACACTACATACATGTACATTAATGTGCAACTTCAAACCAAACAGGTCTTAAAACTGACAAAGAATTGTATATCTAAGCACTACACACTGCACACTTGAAATGTCTAAAATACCGCATAACAAATCAAACTGTTACTAAGAATAGTGAATTCAACTAATCCTGCCTTTGAAACTGTAATGGTTGATTTGTATGTAATTGAATTTATGAATGCCATGTTTAAACAAGTGTGAAATTGACTGAATTTACAAAAACATGAGAAACGACAACCTTGAGGGCATTCAGCATAATGTAAATGTTGGAAAGGAGTTTTATGATGAAATGTACAAAAAAAATTCCTAGCTAATATTTCTGCCAGATGGGAATTTCTATGTAATATGCACTATTTCCAAAACAAAATGAAAATTGTTATTTTCAGTGCTTTGAAAGAGTGTCATATACCCATCTAACTTTGGATGGAAATGTAAAATATGATGAAAAAAAAAGTCTTGTTGTTTGTTAAGTATCCTTTGAATGTAGTTTCAATTTATAATGTTATTCTGCAAGTTACAAACAGTTGTATTTCAATTAGTTGATTGATGGAGTTGAAAACTTTTCCAATTTTTATGCTTCAGATGTTCATTTTTATTTTTCTGCTCAGTAGAGTACTTAAAAGTTTCACAAGGCTTAAGTGCAAACAAAAAAGGTCAAGTCTTTGATCTCGTTGAAAAGGAGAAATGGGAGAATATATATACCATCAAATCTCATTATCTCAAACTTAATAGGCTGAGAGGAAAAAAATCAAGATACGCATGAATTCATTAAAATACATAGAGAAAAAGTTGTTACAACGGACACATCCATGGTATTTGAGATATTGATGTTTGAGATACTGAAGTTCAAATGTATATATATTTACAGAAAAAAATTGAAAAAAATATCTACCTCAGTATGCTAAAAGGGTTGTTATGTCAAAGACCTGACCTTTTACAAGCCTTAAATAATTTATGAATTTGTAAATTAAAAAAAAAAAAAGTCTTGATATCATGCATTGTCTGTATCTTACATTGTTTAGAGGTTTTGAAACATGATGTTACTTTTTCATGAAATGAAATGTGGTTTCTCTTCTACATGTATGACCGATATATCTATAAATAGTCTTTGATAAGCTGAGTATTCTTAGATACTCGGAATACCTCTGACTTTTTCTATCACAGTATCTCCCCGTAGCTTATGTACAGGATCTTGTATTATTAGTGTATTGCCTTGTCTTCCTAGCAATTACTGTATACATGATCATGCTGATCTTTCAAAGTTTTACAAGCTTAAAGAAAAAGCTTCATATCTTTAAAGGCGCTGATCAATGCAAAACATGGTTGCTATGGAGACATGACCCCAGATGTAGCAATACTTCAGTGTTTTCCCCATTTTGAATATTTTGATTGTTTCCTTGTATTAACAAACCATAACTGTGTACAGATTTTATTGTATTAGGGATGACTGCCGAACAGCAGAAATTCACCAAAGCTCTGTCAGATGTTATCTAACTGTGAAAAAGGGAGGCTTGGATCAAATGGACTCTGAAAACAAACTGATTAAACTGAAATCCAAGTCTGCCCTCTGGTCTCAATAGAGAATTAATTGGTTAATGTGGCTACATGGAAACACACGATTTTGTCTGAAACACATGTACCATGATAAAAAATTGAGCTTTGTTTAAAACATCACAGAGATAAGGAAAATCCTATTTGACTTGCAGCCAATTTTCAGTAAATCGTGTTTGACTTGTAAGCCATTTTCAATAACAATACAGACCCTACAGTTTCTGTTAGCCGACTGTACATTACTGTATATGATGTGTTCTATTGTTTACTATACCAATACAGTTGCCAGCTCTCGTGTTCTCAAATGATGTTACAGTCAGCCAGTTCGCAATATTGTCTCCCATTTCTTACGGAAATAAAATTATTCTAGTTCATTGAATTATTGTTTTATTTTTTATATTGACTAAGTATGTGTGTTCGATACAACTGTTCAAATTTGATATACTTGATAACTTACCCATTTTAACATTGCTGCATATTTTAAATGAAAAAAAAAACTAATTTGGAGATTTATTTTCCCTGCTTAAAAGCAAAAACAAGGGGGTATGGGAAACTGCTAATGATTGATTGATTGTACAGTTGTCGCACAGACCATGAAAATGCTTGAATTTTGACCCGGTGTTTGAAAATGCTTCTTAATTAGAAATGTGTTGGAAAACTGCTTATAGGCATATTTGCATGTCAAGGGCTTGAATTCTATCTGTGATGCTTGAATTCTGATCTTCAGTGGCTATATTAGCGAAGCTTGGAAAAAAAAGGAAAAATGTGTGTTGATTAGAAAATATTGAAGAAAAAATATGAATGGGCTGAAGAAATGCAAAATATCCGAAGCACAATTTTTATATCCCAGGCATTATTTATTTGCTTGATTACGTTGTCCAAATATTGCTTGGAAAAATAGCCATATTATAACGTGCTTTGAAAGTGTTTTAAAATCAATATCGGTTCATGAGTTGTAATAGGGAGTTGTGATTATAGGATGTTACTGCATTCCCGCTCCTCAGCCAAGAATGATAACTCTGAAATTTATTATTTAATTGAACAAGTCTCAAAATGAAGCTTGAAATTGAAATCTTTTTGTGCAACAATTTTCATTTCATCCATCTCTATATGATTCAAGGTTTTCTGAAGTCATACAAACAGTTTTGTGAAAAGTTGACATTTGACATTAAAATGAATTAAATAAAAGAACTAAAATACATGTACTGTTTAAGTATTTAAAAAATGCATTTTTCTCCCTTTAGTTTTTTATCCTTAAATATAATTTTTCATCAGTTCTTAAATAGGAAATGAGTAGCTGATGCTTTTGCGTTTCCTAAAATTCATTTGAGATTGATAATTTTCCCTATGTAATATAATTAACTATAATGTTGAACTTTGAAGAAATACCATGGGCAAATAACCATATTACTTTGTGAATTCAGAGCCATTTTTGTGAGGATTTTCAATGAATTTTAAAACTGCTGATTTTCAGAACCGAGGATTGGAATACCTTATTAAAGACTTTTTATAGATATCATCCGGGAACTTAAGTAATAGACTACAAAATTAATATTCTCCACTTTATACGAAAGTAAGGGACAGAAAAAAATAATATCAAGAGAGAAAAAATACTGTTGTAGCAAAGAAAATAAAAAGAAAAGAAGAGATGTAGAAGAAAATATAAAATATATGTGTTTCCCCCAACAGGGCTGCCATGCTCCAAAGCTTTAATGAAACATGTGAAATGCACGTATAATCTTTCGAAAACTTTGTACAAGGTACATGTACCAAACCTTTCTTAGAACAACTTGTCTTTTAGAACTTGACCTAAATGCCTTCTGAAAATGAGTCAAAAACTTATGCCCTACATTTATTATACCCTCACACATACAACCTCCGAAACGAAGTTGGGGGGGGGGGGGGTATATAGGAATTACCTTGTCTATCTGCCGGCCTATTCGTGTAATATGGTCCAAGGTATAACTTTGTAATGGAGAATCATTGGAAGTTCATACTTGGTATAAAGATTTGCTTATGACCTGAAGGTGTGTCGTGACCTTGAATTAAAGTCAAGGTTTAAAATTTGTGTCCATTTCACAACTTCTTAATGAAGAAACATTGGAGAAGTTCATGTTTCACACAAAGATTGCTTTCGACCTGAAGGTGTGTCACGACTTTGAACCAAGTTCATTGGATCAAGTTCAAGGTCATTTTTAGAGAGAAATATTTAATTCCATATCTTGTAATGAAGAACATAAGACTTCCATTTATCATGTTTATCTTTAGTCATCTTTGAGCTTTTGTGATGAAGTTTAAAGGGGCCTGGACAGAGTTGCACATTGCTTACATTGCTTTTACAAAAAATAAAACCAGTTAAATGAATTGAAGTTATATGAATAGATCTATTCTTAGAATTCAATGACAACGGCATTTTTTTTAACATCACGTCAAACATCTTTTATTATTGTAAACAGAGCACGAGCTCTGTCATTGCTAATATTTACGTTTCACCGGGTGTGTTCATCTTGTCAAGCTCTAAACACATCACTGAGCACGGACGGACAATACTGGTGAGTTGATTTCGCTTTCTCACATTTCTACTCTGAGTTTTCTGGATTATAGTTTTAATATTTTTCATTGATACACAACAAAATTTCTACTCTTCTTTAGTTTTAAGGATAAAGTTTTCTTTGCGAAAGTGCAAAGGCGTGCATGGCCGTAGGAACCGGGGGGGGGGGGCAATAATTTTGCCGATATATAGATTACTATAGTAAAAATAGATATTATATACTTGTGCCCCCTCAATAAAAACGTATGATGACCTTTTTTTTCGCTTGTCAGGAAATTTTTGGTAGTGCCCCCTCAACTGTCAACTGAAAATGTATGGCTGTGCCCCCCCCCCTCCCAACTGAATTTGCTTCCTACGGGCCTGATGTGTCAATCAAACGGTCCCGAAATTCGTAGTTTTAATAATTTCCAGATAAAAGAAGTCTCTGAACACGCTTTTATTATATTTCCGTGTGAAATGCTATATAGCAACCGATAAGCCATGATATTATACCGAAAAATTGAGAAAATATAAACTTTAAATCTGTGTCCAGGCCCCTTTAAGGTGACGACTTATTCTAACTTAGAAAAAAAATTATTTTGACGTCAAAGGTAATTTCTTAAAGTCACAAGTTCGTAAATGGTATGATTGGTTTCCAGATTAACTTTAATTAATACTATCTGAGTGTAACTACATGTAAATCATGACCTCTATTGATTTTGAAGTGAAAGGTTGATTACTTAACTAAAGGAATCACTGTCTCGTTATGCATAAATTATCCCACGTTCCAACTATCGTTGATGTCCCTGGCATATACTCTACTAACTAGACAGTGATTCCTTATATTTCCATTTCATTGTGAAATAAAATTGTAAATTTAGATTTTAAAAAATGTAGACTAATAGATTTAAATTACACGAGGCCTCACATGTCAATTTCAATAGTCCCCGCCCACTGACGTCAAACACAAAGACAGCCACACGAGAATTAGTCATACTTATTAGGCCTTCTTAGCTCCTGACCTTTCGCTTGGCGATACAAAGCTCACATGCAAAATCGTCCCGGAAGATTGGTTAAAATGCTGTCAGTTGACACAGTTAAGTTCTATAGAGCGTCGACTTTTATGATGTACAATGTTTCAAGCTATATATGGCGTATCTAAGCTAAAAATAAAAATACGAGATTGGGTGTAGATAAACATGATATATATTATTTCCGTTCAAATAAAAATTTTCACCGATTTTGAATTGAATAACCTCATGTTTCTATAGTTATATTGACTTTAAACTGTGTCTGTTATTTAAATGCGGAGTCGGTAAATAAATCGGTTATTGTTTTAGTTAGTCTGAACTTACAAAAAATTCGACATATATCACTTTCACATTTGTTTCCTGAAATAAAAGTCTTTTTTTTTTTTTTTTTTTACAACATGCATGTTGTTTGTTATGGAAACTCAAATGTGATCTGAAAGTGTAAATAATAATAAAAAGCAAATGCTAAAATACCTGTGTTAATAGGTTAAAGAAGTTATTTTTTATCTTTCAAAGCTTAAGATTGATAGGGTTTTTGAACATATCAATTCCATTTTTTTTATTTATGAAAGAACAAGGTACAGTTTCAATACAAATCTTGCCCTGTGTTTTTCTTAAAAATAAAAGTGATGTGAAAAATTAAAACTCATGCTTTTTGAATTGTTGAAATTCCATGCAGAAAGATCATACAAATCTTTTTTCCCACATGACCTTCCAAATGCTAATTGTGACGTCATAAACTTGTGCATTTTCCCGTATTTTCTTAAAAAGTTGCAGAAGACACCAATTTTCAATGGAATTTTCTTTCAGATAATATTGTCCACAGGCATCGCCCACAAAGATTTTGAGATATGTGATTTTTCAAAGAATTTTACACAACATATCTAAAAATTAACGTGGGCGACGGCTGTGGACACTATTTTCTTAAGGAAAATAACCCTTGAAATGGGTCATTTTGAGGCTTTTTCTGTTTAAAATAGAGAAATGCATCAAATTAATGACGTCATATATCCACAATGGTACTCCATCATGCTATATTCTTTCCTGATTTATTACAGTCATATACTCAACTAATATTTAAGCCAGTTTCAAAACTTTTTGAAATCATTAAATTTTTAGGGCACAATAAAGCTAAAGAAGCTACCTTCTTCTGTGCATTCCGGTAGAATGATCAAGAAATCAACTCTCCCAACTTTCAAAGAGTTATCACAGAGAAAACAAATAGAATGGAAATATATATAGATTAACCATTCGGTAAATTTATTGAAAAAAAAACAACATTCTTTTTTCTATTCTGACATCTACAGCTTATTACGAATATACAGTATTTAAGTTAAGTTTCCCTTATGGAGCCTAGTACGTATCAGTGCACTGATTTAATGACATAACCCAAATAATAGGCGCGTGTATGTAGGTCTCCAGTTATGAGTGACAACAGAATCGAGAGGATAAAAAGTCATATTCAAGTTACTCCGGACTTTCCAAAGCCTGGAATTTATTTCAAGTAAGAAATATACTGCACTAAAATTATGTGACCCAGTAAAAATCATTAAAACAAGTTTACAGGTATGACCTAGTTATTGATAGGGGTTACAATTTGCAATTGCATTGTTTAAAATGGGTCAATTTCACATTTGATATTTCTGATGATTTTATGGAGTTCCATACAAGTCCAATTTTGTGCACAGGTTATTCTTTATAATTGACTAATTGCAATTATTAATTATTGTCGTAAATTGAGATTCATAACAGGAAGTTTCCGTAACTGTAGATGTAGGCCAAAAGGAAGTAAACACTGTAGTCCGTTTTTTGCCTGTCTATTAAATTATAGCCAAAGAAAGATGTACAATCTTTTTAGCATGGAGAATGCAGAATCAGTTTAGTAAACGGTTTAGGTAGAAAATGTTGGGGGGGGGGGGGTATGGGGGCCGCGATGGGCCTATTTAAAAAAAATACAATTGTTTGATGCATATGATAATAAATAACATCCTTTTTATTTTAAGGTTCATTGATACTTTGTTAAGAAAGATAACTCTTAATGGAATAAATGTCTATCATTCTTGTATAAATTTATCGCTTGAAAATGCACGTCTTTTTGTTCTTTTTTGCCCTGCAACTATGCTAAAATTGTTTGCATTTTACTAGTACTTTTTAAAATAATTATATTCTTAAAAAAAACATAAAAACAACATTCTGTATGAGAGAACATAGGGATTATGGACCTCAAGAGGAGTGGAGAACTGGAGTTTGCTCGGTGTTGACCCTCAATCAATCATCACCTTTTACGTATACCCCGTTTTATAAAATTTTCTTGCTTTTTATAGCTCTACTGGCCAGAGAACAGAAGAGCTATAGTAATGCAATAGTAAGGTGTCCGTCCGTCTAGCTGTCTGTCTGATCGTCTGTCTGTAAAAACTTTTTTCAAAATGCTACTCTCCCTACAGTTTTGGTCTGATTTCAACATAATTTGGCACACAAGTAGACTACACTAAGATACATAATTCTGTGTATCGGTTTTTGATTTTGATGATCGGTATTGCTATGCATGGTTACTAAAAAAGAAATTTCTGCGAAATTCTGTCGAAAGACTTCTGCTCCAAAAGTTTTTGTATGATTGCAATAAATCTTGCCTTAGAAAGAGACTAAACCAAGGACCATTGTTTTATTTATTGCTGGTGCATAGTTTCAAGTGCAAGTGATTCTTTTCCTTTGTTATAAGTACAAACCAGTAGAGCTACAGTCTCATCAGAGACATCTGGTTTGGATTTAAATCACAAAAATGTAATATCTTTTCAGAGATTCTTTACCAGTTTTACGAAAACCCGATGTATTTCAAGATCTTATAGATCTCATGGTAGAAAAGGTGAAGGAAAAATCCCCCGATGTCCAGATCATAGCAGGGTTAGAATCCAGGGGGTTTCTTTTTGGACCCATCATTGCTCTTAGACTAAACTGCAGTTTTGTACCAGTTCGGAAGAAAGGGAAATTACCGGGAGAGATAGAGCGTGTGTCCTATTCACTCGAATATGGAACGGTATTAAAAATTAATTTTTAAAAGTCAAAACGTACAGGTAACATTCAAAACTTTTCCGAAAATTGCACTAAGTTATGAAACTACATATGTGCAGAAACGTGTTCGCCATATTAAAACTGTATTTACAGAGGATTGAAACAACGCAAAAAAATGTAATGGACTGAGATAATTACACTTTATGTCATTACATTTTGCATCTTTATTACATTTTGCATTGTAACAGGGGATTGCCTTTTGATCAGTTCGGTTTGTCAGTCAAATCGGTTCATGGTTCATGTTTTGAAAACGTGAGAATTTTTCTAAACGGGGAATTTAACGATCAAGTAAAAACTTTCTTCAGACATAGATCCGTCAAATTATTAATATAAGTAATTATAAGTAATGAGTATTAATAATTAATATAAGTGTGGATGTAAATTATACATTCTTGTACAGCGCATACAAATCCCTCCTCTTTGCGAAATAATATAGGGGTTATCATTGTTGTGACGATCTTGTGTACCTTCAAAAAATGATTTGCTGAATTTTTCCTAGCATGCGTCCAATATTTTACTTAATAACTGCTAAATATTAATGTACATACTTGTACAGACTAATTTTTACATGCATTATGTTCACAGTTTCTTTATTCTGCGAACACATTGCTTGCATGGTATCAGAAAATATCACAAAAGATTACAAACTTACTATTCTCATTTACAGTAAACATTGACATTTAATTATATATATTTCTGTGCAGGACGTTTTTGAGATCCAGAAAGAAGCGTTTCCACCTGGACACTCCGTTGTGATTGTTGATGATCTCCTAGCAACGGGTGGTAAATTAATTTTTATAGTTTGAAGAATAATATGGTTTCAGGAAATCTTCGGACTTTCAGACTTTATGTTAATTGCGCTTATCAATCCAATAATATTTTACCCTGACTTAAAGAATGACTGACTACTAGTATTCACGAAGAAAACTTGCCCTAATTTACGGGCTAATACAAAGAGGGGTCTGACAAGGTTAGGGTTATACGTAAAGATAGTTGTTGGGCTTGAACCTGTCATTTTATGATTTTGTATTTTACCCGTCATAAAACTATATAAGGTATCTGTTTTTATAGGTACAATGAATGCAGCAGTAACGTTGATTGAAAAAGTCGGCGCCAAAGTACTTTCCGGCCTCGTAGTGATAGAACTGGTGGACTTGAAAGGGAGAGATAAATTATCTGTACCATGTTCATCTCTTATTCTCCTCTAATAATCTGTTAATTATTCGGTTTATTTTTTTATGGTCATCCTTAAATACACTATAATCATTAGACTATATATTAAATGTGCCATACTCATTCATTTATACCTCTTTAAACTCTTTATTAAATAGGGATTTCAATTTTTTGAGTACTCGACTTTACTGGCTATCGACTAAATATCTTTTACTCGGTTACTGGTGTTAAAAAATAGGCTATTGAATAACAATTCTAAATTCAAGTTAATAAATTGAGAAAAAATTTTGTTCAGCTTGTCTGTTGGTGTCAAAGAATAGACCTTCCTCAGATAAGGCTTTTTTGAACAGGAGTGGTTACACCTTTTAAGAAATGCGATGACGATGATGCGATAGAGCAAAGGCGATGGTGCGACAATGCAATGACGATGGTGCGATGACACGCTAACGATAGACCTATACTTTATTGCTAGGGGTTGAAAGAAATAAAACTTGCAAGTAATTTCTCCAAGCTATGAACCTTACCCTTTTTCCTGTTAAGAAGGGTTTCTAGTAAAGCATCATCGTCATCGCGCTTTTGCGTCATTGTTATCGCATCATCGTGTCATCGTCGTGATTTGTGTTTGTGCAATAGTGAAGTACATGGCCCTATTTGGATTCCATATTAATCAAGAGATTTTTTATTTGAGGTGAATTCTTGTATAACCACAGAGAATAAGTTTTTTTTATCTTTATCGCTCATTTTTTCAGGATATACCCATTTAATTTAAAATATTCAATGTGGTTGTATGCTCGGTATTTTTTGGTTTCTTCCAGATCTATAGCTATATACAAATAATGTCTGGGAGTATAGATATCTATATATAAACTTTAAAGAAAATAAGTGAGTTGTATGGATTTTGATTTTGTATCAATTAGCTATAGTTATTTAAAATAATACATTACATGCACTGATTATAACAGAAATAAAGCAACAATGTTTAAATACATGTATTCTAATTTTATTAACCGGGTTTTCCGTAGGAAAATTTCTGCTTTTAAAATGGTGAAAATGGCAGTCGGAATTTTTATGCAAAATATTGCTTTTAGGGTAATTATAAATCTTTTTCCCTCCTATATACACTCATATAAAACTTGGTCCCATCCTATCTTTTTGGGTCATGTTTCTACAAACATGAATCTACGATATGTAGAGAAGCTTTTACGTCAGATCCAGCTGAGAAGAGTTTTAATAACTTTTTCTTTTGTAAAACTTTTATGGCTTATTGTGGCCCCAATTCATTTGACCAAACTTGAATTCTAGTCATGACCCTGGTTTTTCTAGAGATTATATAACCCCATGTAAAATTTTAATCACCTACATTAAGTGTGGCCAACGCCAATTAAAACAGGAGGCTGTGATTTGAATTAATTAACTCTACACTGTACGTTGGATTCCCTGAATATCAAAAAACATCAGGCAAACTAATTCGAAAAAGGTTAAAAAAAAAAACAAACTTAGTGGATTAAAAGTTATGACCTAAAATTATTTTTACACGGATTATCTAGCAGACACATTCTCTACAAAGACAGTCATACTCTAGCTGTTAAAAATTAAATTATACATGTATATATATTCTATACTGGACAACAATATAAATATATGTTCTTGGTAAATCAACGGCCTATAATAGTTACTGAAGAAGTTGGACTGATCTTCATGATAGAAGTATTGACACAGATTCCAGCAAAACTCATGCAAAAGCCACTAGTGTCAGTATGCATAGCATTTAAGTCGTATCCACAGTTCTGAACAGATGTGGTGGTGTTCGCCCACCAACCACCAGCGATATATCCAGAGCAGTCCCGAAAAAAACTCACATCGCCAGGATGGTCTTGTGTGACAAACTTATTTCCATTGGCTGTTTCCATGGTGTCATCATAATTACCCGTATATTCTGAAACATGGATCCTATAGTCGTTTCTCTCATTCTCTATGTTGAACTCTTCGTACTCGGCCCAGTACAACTTACCGCTATAACCTACCCCCTCCACTCTCAGCTTATACGAATTCTGTGCAAGAATGTTGAATACTTTTTCATTCCCTAACCAATAATCACCAGAAACATTTCCGAACCCATTAAGGAAATCCGCCCATTTTCTGCAATTGAAATGAATCAATTATTTATATCAATGTCAAGAGAGGTCTATATTTACATGTACAGCAGTGTAAACGTTCAAGATCATAGCAGCTAGTAGCTTTCGTAGAGCTACGATCTTGCTATGCCTGGCCGCTATGTGGGGAAAGCTACTATATATATTTTATGCTAGACAGTCATCAAATCAAAGATGGCAATCTTCGATGTATACTGCTTTGATTCTCGCTTAGTAAGACACGTGTTGTTTTCTCTGAAAAAAAGGAATACGTTAAGCCTATCTTTGTTCCAAAATAATTGTTCTTGGGGTTTGTTTCCAATAAACTAGCAGCTAGATGAAAGATCCGTTCTAGAGAGCTAGCTAAATATTTCTAGCATCCAGCGGCTATATTTGCAAATACATTTTGAACGTATCAATTTTTACGTCTTTGACTATGGAAAAAACCCAAATCAATCGTTCATTCCATGAATACAAGTGAAGATCATTACCATTAATGTCATATACAAAAAGTAGATGCGTTTCCACTCGATCTCGATGAAAACGCTTGCATTTGTAGAAAAATGACTGCAATGGCAGATATAGGTTCATAGAATGTCCAGTACTATGGATATGCAAACATTTTGGAATGCCTTAATTTGGATACGCTAATCATATATATTTATATATGCATTATGTGAATTGTTGATATACCGGAGATATTACCTAAGAATACCTTTACCTGTAGAAAAACGAAAACTTCTAAGCTTCATTAGCTTATGGATCTTCCTAGGTAGGACATGGACTACAGTATGGATCCCATCCATAAAAAAAATCATTCCATGGACAGTACATGACAGTCCAACACTGATTTAACTTACCTGTATGGACTTGAAAAAGGGATCCGCCCCTCGATTCTCCTCTGTATTACAGTCCAGCCCTGATCACAGTAGACAGGGAATGGGTGTGGGGATTGTGGGGGCTGGATGGTGTAGACCCCGGGGGACTGCACTTCCGAGTAAATATCCAGACAATCTGTATATATGTATGTTATCGTTCAAAAAAAGCATATCAGCTCGTAAAAATGTGCAGCAGAAACCATCTCTATATGTTAATTAATTACATGTATTTTGTAATACAATTGATATCAGCACCAGTGTTTTATAATTAGTGTACTAATGCATTTAAATAGACAAGCGAGTGTATATAGGGCATAATAATCCCTATGCTTGTCTAAGGAATCTGTAGATGTATTGATACTATTTTACTAAATTGTGTCTCTCTTAAATCAATTTATAGGTCATTACTGTACATTGTGAAAAAAAAAAAATTATTAGATAATAATTTAGTAGGTCAAATCTGGGACTAAATTGCAAAATGACTTTCTTATATAATTCTTGGAGAAGAATGACCAATTTCCTTCCATACCTAGGAAACAGGATAAAAACAGACAAACATATTCTAGTTTCTGGATGGAGGACAACAAACTTTAATTATTAAAAGTCAACCCCAAATTAAATCGTACCAAGTAATTATAAACATTATTATGGACATGAAAATTGACTTTCCATTTTTAACAATTTCAACAAAAGAAATGACCAATATGGATAATTATTTTTGGATGTGAAATTATAACTTTCAATTATCAAGAGATTAACTTACTTTCAATATTACCTACATGAAATACGAAAGCCGCATTCAAATCTTAAAAGGCCGGAACAATGGCCAAACATCTCCGGTATAAAAAGGAGTAACCGGGAGAGCCCAGAGAGACCGCTACAGAGAGACTCTTTGGAGATTGTTACTTCTCTAGACATTCCTCCCTGGATTGGATTGATACTAACTTTTATGATAGGTTTGGCGAAAAGACTTTACTTTTAATTTAATTTGGCGAAAAGACTTTAATTCTAAATTATTACTTTTTATTTCTAAGTTCATAAAAAACTATACGATTACTTTTGTATCGATGACTTGTATGTAAAATAATAAATTTAGTAGAGAGTTTAATGATCTTGTCTTCATTCTAGCTCTGCTCCATTACAATTTCTAAACTACTTGTTTAGGAGAGGCAAATAAAGGAAATGACTTGGAAATCTCCCCCCCCCCCCCCCCCGAGCTTCAGTTTTCCAAAGTATAAAATGGTTGAATTATAGTACTATCATTATGATATTTCTCAGCTATTTTACCATGCAATATCGTTGTTAGTGGTGTAGTATGAGCTGGTGCTAATGATGAGGTCGTCACGGTTCCAGATGAAGGAGTGATCACGTGACCTCCAGGACTCGCGGTAGTCACGCTTCCTGCTACCAGCTGATCCACGGTCTGTTTCACACCGTTCAGTTTCGTTTGGATCCCTTGCATTGCTGAGTTAAAGGCCCTGGAAGAAGTTCCAAGCTGAAGCTTTAGATTAGATATGTCGGATTTTATTTGTGGTTGTGAGCTTTCTAGAGCCTCCACTCTAGTTTGGAGACTTCCACTGCTTTGTATGGCTGTCAATTGTTGTTTTGTTTGGAGGTTGGCCTCCTCTAAGTGGCGTACCCTTTCTTGTAGCTGGATCAATGTTGACACGTCATTTTCCAGTGATGTCACTTGTAACTTGAGGGCGGAGTTTTGTTTCGATAGTTCCTCCAAAGAGTCCTGCATTTGCTTTAGTTGGGCTTGGACCTCCGCTGGAATTTCTCCTGGGTTGGAGGGTCCTAGAGGACTTCTGGTTGTGGGTCTTGGTGTAGTCGTGGTGGTGGTGGTAGTTCGTAATGTCGTGGAATCAAGTGGGTCGTTAATAAATCCGGATACCACAGTGAGAGCAGTTAACAACGTGTAAAGTCCTACAGACTTCGTTATACATGTACACATGGTGTGAGTCAAAAGATCTTAATTCACATTTCACAGTCAGATATAGACAGTTTTCTTATCTCTTCGGGAATTTCTTGTTTTCATATCAAATATAGTTTGTTCCAATTCATTTGTAAGTATGTGTGTAATTATAATTCATGCATGGTCATTCGTCATGTTATAGTGATTCTTGTAAAGATAGTCCAACAGCTAGTCCAGGACCTTATGAGGGTCCTTACCAATTCAAAACAAACAAACAAACGTTCAAACAACAACAACAACAACAAATAGAATTAATATGGCGTGTAAAACGCTGCACCAAATTTTTGAATAGGAGTAACAAAAAAGTATACATTTTTTGGTTATTCCTATTCAAAAATGTTGTTATTATTATTCTATATATATATATATTTTTTTATAATTTGTCATTCCTATTCGATAACTTTGTCATTCTTATTCGATGATTAAATGACTTATATTCGATAAACATGTTATTCCTATTGAAAAACTTATCTTTCCCCTATTTGAGAATCTTAACAAGATTTTTTAATAGGAATCGTATGTTTTCGAACAGGAATGATATGTTTTCAAAGAGGAAGAACAAGTTTATTGCATATAAATCACATAATTATCGAATAAGAATGACAGAATTATCGAATAGGAATGACAAAATTATCAAATATAGGAAACACATGTTTCGAATATGATTAATATACTTTGGAATAGGAATAATATTTCTCCCAATAGGAATGACGCTTTATCGAATAGAAATGACAAATTATCGAATAGGAATCACATTTTTTTTCGAATAGGAATGATAGTTTTTAGAAGAAGAATAAATTAATTCTTTGAATAAGAATAACAAAAACGTATAATAATGCAAAGTTTTATACGCCATAAATTAAAGAGAATCAAAAACACAAAAAGGGGGATACAAGTGTAGACCGGAAGTATATATGCATGTTTCCTAACCATTATAATCTCAGTAGCAACGAGTATACAGTAACATGTAGTTGGTTTTCTACCACATGTCATCCTTGCTGATGTTGTTGAACAAGCATACCCAAGATCCTTCAATTTGTTTTTTTTTTTTTTTTTGCTTGTCAAGGGATTTTTCATAGTGCCCCCCAAACTGAAAATGTTTGGTTGTGCCCCTTAAAACCTTAAACTGAAATTGCTTCCTACATCCTAGGTGTCATAGAGGCGTAATTAAGCATCTCCTTCCGACCGGTCACATCCGCCGTGTGCTCCACATCCTAAACTTACAGATTTTAAATTAAAATTATTCAGAGAGCAATTCGAGTCCGATAACATATTCCTATCACATCCGCTTATAAAAATAAATTAAAAAAAACATTCTAAGTACAATGTAATCTTCAACCCTTGAATTTTCTTTCTTTGGAATTTTCAGAAAGTATTTATTGTGTATTGTGGCGATCCGAGGTCTGGTTTTAAGTTTAAAGAAATATCCAGTCGCCGTTGCGCTGAAAACCGGGGGGTGGGGGGTGGGGTGGGGTGGGGGCACAGTATCTATATTAGAACAAGAGGTCCAAGGGCCTTAACGGTCACCTGAGTATAATACAACAATTTAGAGGATCCATAGAGTATAAAATAAACTGATAGATTAAGCTTTGTTGCCCAAAAGCAAGAGAAATAGGATGATCAGAATCAATGAAATAATTAGTCTAGTATTCAGTAACTACTCACACATTAAATTCTAATTTATCCCCCATTTAGCACTTAATCACCATGCAGACTATTAACAAACTATTAGTTCCTCTGTACTACTTTTAACCCCACATTGTGACCTCTCACATGGGCCTCTCTTGGTCTTTGAAGAACATTTAATGTTATTTTTGTCTCATTTTTATCTATTTATTTTTTACAAGTCTACCTGATCATTAAAACTATGAAAGTACTTTTTGTATTATTCAATAATTTTTTTGCATAAATCTCTAATTCTATTAACTTGCAAATACATTATTTACAGTGATTAATTATCAAAAGTAAATGGCAAAGGGGAATAACTTCTCTCAGTTGTATACAAATTAATAGAGCCCTGACTAGGACCAGAACACTTGACCAAATGGTCCTGATGTTCAAAAATCTGGTAAAAATATCCTTGCTTATTAAAACTTTAATTCTGTTTGCCTTCGATATGCCAAGGAGCAGAGAAGATTTTCAAAGAAATAATGCATTTTCACTACAGATTCAGCACACCCCTACCCTTAGTTGAAGATTTTCAAAGAATGAACACATTAATTTTTCATTTTATTAATAAATAAAGCTCCCCCCCCCCCCCCCAAGAAACACCAAAACCTGAAGACCACAAGTTTTAAAAATTTTGTAAGAAGCACAGTTGTTCATCATAACTATGCACTTTATTTATCTGCTCAACACTAAGGAGCCGACAGGATTATTTAACAGAATTAATACATTTTCACTATATTATCAATAGAGTCCCACCCTACACTAGAACATGACTTAGAGGCCAAGATTCATGAAGAAGCACTTTTGTTCATCATGATAACTACACACTTAGTTTACTCTATAACCAGGAGCAGAAAAGAAGATTTTCAAAGAATTAATGCTTTTTCACTATATAATCAATAGAGCCCCCCCCTCCCTCCCCAACCCTGGGGCCATGAATTTCACAATTTTGGAAAAAGCATCCTTGTGCATCATAACCATGCGCTTAGTTTGTTTAAATAATACTCAGGAGCAGAGAAGAAGATTTTCAAAGAATTAATGCATTTTCAGTATATAATCAACAGAGCCCCACCCTAACACCAGAACCCCTGACCCAGGGGCCATGAAATTCACAATTTTGGAAAAGGCATCCTTGTGTACTATTACTATGCACTTAGTTTGTTTAAATAATATCCAGGAGCATAGAAGAAGATTTTCAAAGAATTAATGCATTTTCAATATATAATCAACAGAGCCCCGCCCTAACACCAGAACCCCTGACCCAGGGGCCATGAAATTCACAATTTTGGAAAAGGCATCAATGCTTATCATAACCATGCACTTAGTTTGTTTATATGATATCCAGGAGCAGAGAAGAAGATTTTCAAAGAATTAATGCATTTTTAGTACATGTATATAATCAATAGAGCCCCGCCCTAACACCAGAACCCCTGACCCAGGGGCCATGAAATTCACAATTTTGGAAAAGGCATCAATGCTTATCATAACCATGCACTTAGTTTGTTTATATAATATCCAGGAGCAGAGAAAAAGATTTTCAAAGAATTAATGCATTTTCAGTATATAATCAATAGAGCCCCGCCCTAACACCAGAACCCCTGACCCAGGGGCCACAAATTTCACAATTTTGGAAAAGGCATCAATGCTTATCATAACCATGCACTTAGTTTGTTTAAATAATACCCAGAAGAAGAGAAGAAGATTTTCAAAGAAATAATGCACTTTCACTATATGATCTATACAGCCCTGCCCTAGCACCAGAACCCCTGACCCTGGGGCCATGAATTTCACAATATAGGTAGAGGGCCCAATGCTTATTACAATCATGCCAAAAGTTTGACTGCTTGATGTCCAGGAGTAAAGAAGATTTTTAAAGATTGCATCAATTTTGGTGATTTTAGCCCCACCACTGGGGCACCAGGGGGGCAGGGACCATGAAATTCAAAAATTTTGTTCCCCTTCACCCAAAGATGCTATATGCCAAAATTATTTGAAATTGGTTGAGCGGTTCTAGAGAAGAAGTTGAAAATGTTCAAAAGTTAACGCAAGACAGACAAAAATGGATAGCAATAGGTCACCTGAGTGACTCAGGTGACCTAAAAATGCATTCCATTTTAAATTTATTTTTTGGAAGGGGAATTCATGATTTCCTCTCATCCTTTATATAAAGAGGTGCCTACTGCTTGTGGTTCCAATCTCGTTTTGAAAGATTTAATATATTGAAAATTAAGGATACTTATAATCTGATATGCATTGCAATATCACTTATACTATCCAACATTTTAAAGTTCACTCATTTATGTTGTAACCTTCATACACTAGAGTTTAATAAGAATGACCCATTTTTTGAAAGAAGAAAAAATGATTCCATTTAGGTTGTATAAAATGATGAATTTATTTATAAAACTTAAATAATTATCTGTCAACAATAAATGCAGATGTACTTTACATATATATTGTCTCACAAAAGACAAAGGAATAAAAAAAACAAGTTCACATTTACTTGATGTTGCTGTGACAACAACATAACATGTACTTGTGCTGTTTATATATCAAACTTATTGGGGAATAAAAATCACTGATTTATCTCTATGTAGAGGACACTGAAAGACTCTTGATGCTAAAAATTACCCAAGCTTTTGGGTACTTTCATAAAAAAAAAATCTGTCATTATTAAAAAAGAAAGTTATATAAAGTAATGTTACAAAAATAAATCTAGTAATGTTAAAAAAAAAAAAAAAGCCCATGGGTCACAATGCTCACCCGAGTCACCTTGGCCTTGTTGTTCTTAGGAAGTTTTTTTTTTCATTATTCATTCCCATGAAAAAAATATGACCTCATATTGTGGACTCACTCTAGCTCAAATGTAATATGATTTTTAATCAAAACAAATATAGTCAAATGTAAAACTTTGATCCCCTATCGTGACCCACCATACCCCTGAGGGCTATGATTTGAACAAACTGGAATCTTTCACTATCTGGGAATGCTCTTATATAAATATCAATAATCATGGCATTGCTATTTCTGAGAAAGATTTTAAATTGTTTCAGGTTTGGTTGGCATTGGTCCTGTCATTCTCTAGAAGAAATCGAAAATGTTCAACGTTTACAAATGGATGGACTGATGGACAGTGGAGAAAATATGATCAGAAAGCTTACTTGAAGCTGTCAGCTCAGGTGAGCTTAAAAGAGGGATTCCATCTGGTTCAATGGATATACTGAGACATTCTTTATATAGAACTTTACAGAAGGAAACATTTTATATAAATAAAACACAGCCACTTGATGTCATAGTTTTGTCATATCAAAAGAAAAAAAAAATCTCATACCTAATAAGTAGGAGTAATTATTATTTGTGGTATGAAAAAAAAATCTTTCTAGTGTCTGTGAAATTAAACTAAAAGTTTTATCCCCTCCCCCCCCATTTCTTCAATAAAAAACTCAGTCTTATCCCCAAAACAGTAAAAGAAAATTTTGTCAACTGGTTTTCCATTATAACTTTCACACTCAGATAATTAAAAAGAATTGTTTTCTTCCTATAAGCTAAAATAATAATAATAAAAAAAACAACAGCCAAATAATAAATAGCTGAAAAAAATAATGGATAAAAAAAACTTAACATCTGGCCAGCTATGTATCCTTCATGCAAAACCGGTTCCATTCTTAAACAACATTAAATAGCACTGCTGAAATCAAATTGATGCCTATTTTAAGCCTTCATCAACTAGAGACAAACACTTTGAGTTGTTTGCTGGGTATTGTCTCTGGTCCATATATTTTTTTAGCTCTCTTTAGGAACGCATTCACCATTGTTTTCGTAACTTCATCAAAGAACATCTGTGTCAGATGGGAGTGTATGGCATAACGGAATTCAAAAGCTACCTGGAAAAAAAAACAAACAAAAATAAATGAAACATGAATACTTGTTTATAAAATGAACAAAGAAGAGGAAATACCAGGAGATGAACTGTGCAAGATTTGGGGAAAAAACTTGGGGAAAGAATGAAACGTGTACTAAATACTCTTTAAGGATGCATATGTTGATAATGATTTTTCCCCTAGGAAATATAAAATATGTCTAAAATAGTGTAAGAAATAGATAAAAAGTAACTCTTTATTTCCAACAGCAGTAGAGTTGTAACAACTTTTTAAACTATCTTTTGAATGTCTACATGCCATAAAGAGACCCCTAAACAGGTTGGGGGGAAACGTAAATTCCGCTATAATAGTGGTATATCACTATTATAGTGAGATTCCGCTATATTTTCAGCCGTAGTTACCCCCGATTTCATCAAATAACATACTTGTTGATTAAAGTGCAAGTTATGATGGGTATAAAAATGGACAATAATTTGAATCCTTGCATGTTATGAATTTTATTTAATTTTCTGCCGATGCGTTTAATAATACGAACACACTTTTTAAAACGGAAGTTACATTTTTAACATAGCAACCAGTGATTAAGGTAGTATTGAACAAAGACTGACTCTTAATATCTCTCACACATGTGCACGAATTAGTGCTTGTAATAACTTTGAACCCACTTTGGAATAGGTTTGTCGAATTTACAGAAGAAAAGATGATTTTTGCCTGTATGGTAACGAGTATGGAGGCCCGTTGGGACAAACGAAAAAAGCTCATTACACGTTCACTTTCTTCTGATGAAAACCGATTTGTATTGTTTAATTGCAATAAATCGTAAACAATGATGTAAGTTGTCATTTCTGCAAGTAATTACAAACACATTGTTTGACATTCGTTTTGGGAATGTTAAACAAAATTAACAATACGAACAACAAAGGGCCTCGGTTTTAAGGGTCTTCCACCTATTCCCACTTTTTTTAAAAAATCACAAGTCCACCTATTTCCGCTTGCAAATATGATATAGTTTATTCAGAATATAACTTTGGGCAGTACAGCCCATCAGTTACAAAAATAACATAATCTATACATATTTTACAATAAATAAGACTCTCAAAGAGTCTAAAGGGGGTGAGACCCCTGATCACGTGTTCCTCAGTCCCACAGTTCCATTCACTTGTACAGAAGACTATAATATATGCTATAATATAAAGCAGAAGGAGGAATACTTTAAAACAATATAATTGTTTTACAATATATGTAGCAATGCTGTTGTATTATATATAAACATCTGAAAATTAACCTTGAACAAATAGACATTGGGTCAACCTGACAGATCATCGTAACGTAATATAAGAGCACGATGGATAAATTTCCCTAAGCCAACTAGGGTACATATGCGATGTGAACCGAATAACTGAAGTAATATAAATGTACTTGGAGATTTTTAATAATATTCATTTATGTATTTTTTCCTTAAATTTAGATATCTATGGCATTGAAGAATGAAATTAAATTCGTCTTCAATTTGATGAGTATCGTAAACATTGCATAATCTATCCTCCCTCCCCTTGCCTTGTGTTGAAAGTTCATTGTGTTTATAACAATTTTGTTAATTACATCTCAACTTAGGTTTTTTTTTAATTCAATACACTTTAAGACAGAAAATACAAAGGAGTATTGCTTAAAATACTGTATGAAATATGAAGATAACAAACAGTAATCGATCTCAGAAGTCCATTGAAACAATAAAAAAATTAAACAGAGCAAACACGGACCTCTAAAAAACATCAAAAGTGGGATCAGGTGCCATGGAGGAGTGAGCACCCCCTACCGACCGGTCACAATCGCCGTGTGCTCCTTGTCATGATCAAGGAGCACTCGGCAATGTGTAGACAATTCAATGTGTAAATAATGGCTTATGTGTACTTAAAAAAGCAGGCTTAATATTTTAGCGGCTGTGGGGCAGAAAACGATGCACTGATTCTTGATAACCATTAACAAATGAATTTCACAAAATCCATGATCGACAGGGGATGCCTACTCCTCCATTTTCACAACTTTTTCCCTTTTCTTGCTAAGACTAATCAATTTAATTCACGGTTTCATCATCAAGAAAGGAAACATTATACATGTATTTAAGATTACATGTAAGAGTGACAAATATTGCTTACGATTGAGACAACACAAATCCGTTCCATTAAAGTAAACTTGTGCTGAGCTTTTTTTTTTCATTTGTCATAACGGTCCTCCATACCAGTAACTATGCAGGCAAAAATTACCTTTTCTTCTGTAAATTCAACAAACCTATTCCAAAGTGGGTTCAAAGTTACTACAAGCACTAATTTGTGCACATTTGTGAGAGATATTAAGAGTCAGTCTTTGTTCAATACTACCGAAATCACTGATTGCTATGTTAAAAATGTAACTTCCGCTTAAAAAAGTGTGTTCGTATTATTAAACGCATCGGCAGAAAATTAAATAAAATTCATAAAATACAAGGATTCAAATTATTGTCCATTTTTATACCCATCATAACTTGCGCTTTAATCAGCAAGTATGTTATTTGATGAAATCGAGGGTAACTATGGCTGAAAATATAGCGGAATCTCACTATAATAGTGATATACCACTATTATAGCGGAATTTACGTTTCCCCCCAACCTGCTAAATGAAGAAGGCAAAATTGAAAATTATAAGCACAATTTCTTTTGTGTTTGTCATGAAGACATAGAACCATAAGTATTTATGTATATGCAGGAATTGAAGAATAAGTTCATGTCTTAATGACTTACAGAGAAATCTAAAATACATGTGTTGGGGTTTTCTGGCAGTCCAGGGCGAAATCTCCAGACTGTCAACATATGATTGAACAACTTTCCATCTGTACACTCAGACTGTAAATAATGTAAAATTGTGTATATAATCATATTATTTACTTTACATTTAAAACAAGCTAAAAAAATGCAATTCTTGAAAAGAATTTAATTATGGAGAAGGCCCCTTAAATATTTGAGAATGACATATTTTCTTCATTTGACTGAAAGAATTATACAGTGCATGTCCTTTCTATTTTAATGTGTAAAATATGAATACGAAAAAATGTATTGACTGCTTATCAATGAATTGAAAAAAAAAACTGCAATAATAAATTTGTACATCCTTACCCTTACTAAATTTGGTTTGGCTAAAGTTACAATTGATGTGTATCGTTCTACAAGAGGGGGAAACCCCACCTCTAATTTACATTTGCAGTATCCAGGTCGTTCATCAAATTTTATGGATTCCTTGCACCATGGCACAAACTCTTTATAATGCTGGACATCTGCTACTACTGTGTACATCTGATCCATACTGTATCTACAAAAAATCCTTCATCAAAAATCAGTCATTTTTTTTAGGGGAGGGAGTGTTCTAGAAATCAATGTTTATAATATGACCATTACTCTTATAACTATTCTACAATGAACTTCAAAGGATGACATGATCCAATTCATCTGACTTTAATTTTATTAAATCTCGATCCTTATTGATTACTGCCTTTGTCTACTAATGCATCTTTTATGTCTCTCTGGGGGCCTCTGATTGGAAATAAACTATATGTATTGTCTATACAGTCTACTGAGAATAAATACCATACCCTAGTAGTCTTCTTTCTGAATATTCCTGTTTCTTTCCCTTTGCAAGCGGATTTGTTATTTTTGGTATTTGAAATAAATATCGGTGACTCTGTGTTATATGGGATGGTTGAATTGGTTTGAATTGGTGCTCTTGTAGAAATGAAGATTTGTTTTCAAATGCACATCTGTTCAATTTAAAAGAAATTACAGGTAACAAATATTAGACTTACATAAAAAAAGACAGGACCATCTGAGGTGATATATATTTTTCTAATTATACATAACAACTCATATTGATTTTTTCATATTTTCATATAAGCCCAATATTTTATTAGATCAGTGTACAACAACACTAATAACACACTAATAAATAAATCTACTATCACTTTCAAAAATTGGTGAGGTCAACGTACGCACGGTTGATTACGAAAATAAAAGGTATTGACTATTAACAGTGGTTAAATTCTGATATACCTAGAATGAACTGAAAGATAACTACACTAGATGTGTAACTACTCACCCATTTGATATACTTTCATTTGTAATTTTGGGTAAACAACGAAACATACCATTACATCGACGACTGACAGTACGAACAGTCGCCATCGTGACCTTGACCTTAATTACACTCGGGTATTTCCGTAATTTCCTCATTTTTAAAATTTATTTTTAAAGTTTTTTAAATTCGAGTAAGCTGCATTTTTATGTAAATTAATGGTGTTTTTGTACATGATTTAAAAATCGCATTTTAATTTAGAAAACGATGGTTCAACGTAGCAATGAATTATGGGAATATCAAGAAAGAAGTAAACAAAATGGCGGCCCTAACAAGGGAAGGTAGGTTTATCTTTCTAGTTTTATAGAGTCCTTTCTCTCTACTAACAGTAGATATGCTATACATTTCTCAAATAAACCATTGATTTGGGTGTTATTTATGTCAATATCGTAATCAACTAAACTTTAAAGCATTTTTAGTCGCATAATTTGGACCAGCAATTAGCAGGTCCAGCACAATCTCTTGATCAAGTGTTATAGCTTCAATTAGCTATATAGCTTTATTATGCTATTTAACTTAAATTTTAAGCTATTCAGACTACCTTGATGAAGCTAATTTTATGAATTTATATACAAAAAGTTTTCATAAGAAATAGACAAAAAAATTGCAAGAATCTGACTATTCATATATGGGGACTTAATTCATAATCTCAACGAGATTCCTTGAGACTAAAAATGTTGGACAGACGTCTCCAGTGCCATACAAAGTGACTTGGCAATTTTGCCCGGACTCTGACCGCTTGTTTTGATCAATACGGCCAGAAATGAATTCACTGCCCGCTTCAACTTTTTGCTCTGGACATCCTTTTAACTCCCTATCACTATATAACTTTTGTTTCTTCCCTTTAAAAGGTAAACCCAAATCAAGTTGTTGATTTTTTTTATAGCACTGACATATTCGTTCAAACTTCTGTAAACTAATGTTCCGAACACCTGCCTTGTGCTGAGAACAAAAACTCTGATATAATATCGCTGTATCAAGGTGTGACTTTTTGTATATCCTGAAAAAAATAAAACATTGAAGAAAAAAGTGTGATAAAATATCTTAAACAAGCTATTATGAATAACTTGATAAAGCTCTATAGATAATTCTAGCTATATCATGTATATAGTTTAATCAATAGATTGTGCAGGAATCGATTATTGTGTTGCATCCATGTTTATATTTTGTGTAAACTTGTAGTTTAAAGCAAGATATATCATTAAAATTTCTTATGGTGGTATATAATTAATAACTTTATGCACATGCATCAAAAGATGGTATGAGCTATGGGAGAAGATATATATTAAGTTTTCTCCATTTCTTATGGTGGTATATAATTAATTATTTACATTTGCAAATATTTTTCTTAGATGAACCTATAGAAGAGAAAATATGTTCAATTCTGTATGAACTTATTAGGGGGTCAGAGGTCATGGCGTGACCGAATCACACAGCGAGACGATATCTTGTCTACATATTTCTGTCACAGTGACACTGGTTTCGGAACTTCTGAACCGTCAAAGCGATGAAAAAGATAAAATTATTGAAACATATTTTTTTTTTCGTTCAACAAATGATCGTTAGATCTTTCTTCGGTGTGAAGAATGTTTCTAATTAGCCTAAAATCACGCTTACCTTTTTAACCCGAAATTCCTTTGAAGGTATGTAAACTGAAGACGATAGCACCGCTTTTGACTTTATATATAAAGAACTCGTACAATAATAGTAAGATAATTCCCAGTAGCGATCATTGTTTTTTCATTATGAACAGATATTTCCTGAACTGGACTGCTAAACATCAATGTAAGTATTCAAATGTTGGAGCGAGGCGAACTCTCAAGACCAAACAACTTCTAGGTCATTGCGCGTCACAACATAGCAATACGGCGGGCCGTTCGTGTAATAAATGCAGTTCTATTCAGAATATTCGTCTCAAATGTAAATAAAAGTAATAAACAACAATGTTAAAAAGTTCACTGGGAAATGAACTTGGTTGGTACGTGATCAAATCTTCTGAGAAGCCCTTCGGGCTTCACAGGATTTGATCACGTGACCAACCAAGTTCATTTCCCAGAGAACTTTTTAACATTGTTGTTTATTTCTTAAATAAACAATGTTCTTTATGCACATACATCAAATTTAAAGATGATATGAGCTATGTGAGAAGAGGGTGCGTCGATTTACCCAAATGGACCCAATGGAAACCCAAATGGAAATCAAATGGACCCAAATGGAATATTAAACACATATTATCGTATTCTCAAGTTGTTACTTATTTAAAATGATGAAAATAATGAACTCGCAAATGGAGAATATTAATTATAATTCATTTTTAATATTGTATTTTAAAATATAAATTAATTTTTTTTTTCTATTTGTAATAACTTTTGCATATTGTTGAATATGAAATTGAAGTATTTCATTTGAAAGTTTATATAGTTTTCATGGCTGTAGGAAGGGGGGGGGGGCATGGGGCCTGTGCCCCCCCCCCCCAATTTTGCCGATATATAGAAAACTAAAGAAAATTAATTCGTATTTTAAAATAGAATACTAAAATGAATAATTAATATTCTCCTTTTGTAAATTCATTTTTTTCATCATTTTAATTAAGGAATGTTTTTAAGTTTTGTGTGAGTTATTGGTGTGTAAATCACACAGACTTGTCACGTAGGCATATTTCTTGAAGCGCGCTAGCGCTTCATGAAAAATATGCCTACGTGCAAGTCTGTGTGATTTACCCACCAATATTCACACTAAACTTAAAAACATTCCTTATATTTACATTTTATAAGTTTAAAACACCAATAAAATAGTCAATATTTGAATTTCTTGCTGCCCTATATCGTTACATTTTTATTTACGTTTCTGTACCTCATTGTGACGTCACTTTAGCGCGAGTTTCACTGTGTATATTTCTACGCATGAGTATACACAAAAATGACTTTCAAATCAATTTCACCGTTGGCTTAGTAGAAAAACACAGCAAATGTAAATATATAAGTAACAACTTGATAATACGAAAATATATACTTAATATTCCCTTCAATTTCCATTTGGGTCCATTTTGATTTCCATTTGGGTCCATTTTGATTTTCATTTGGGTTCCATTTGGGTCCATTTGGGTAAATCGACGTGCCGTGAGAAGATATGTATTCAGTTTTCTCCATTTTTGTGTAGTAGACATAAAGTAAGTAAAATCTTTGCATTAAATGGCTACTTTGAAAAAAAATTCCATATAAAAAAGTTGTTGTGATTGCAAGGTAACCTCAGTAATTTGGTCATCATACTCAGGTGAACTTGGCTTGGTAACTTGCTTTGAATAACCAGCCTGTTTATTTATCTAAAAATTTAATCTCAACAAGTGAATCTTCTCCAGTAATCAGTGCTTTCATTATTTGCTGCAGCAATTGAAGAAGAAGTACGAAATATACAGAATAAGAAGAAGGCCCTTGAAACAAAAGGAATTGAACTGGATGAAGAAGATGAAGATGTAAGAGTGGGCCTTGGTTCTGCAGGACATTACGATCGAGATATTTATAGCACTGGAAAAACATCATTCATTGGATATGACACATCCATTGCAGCAAGTGAAGAAAGAGATGTAAGTAATTATGGAAAAAGAGTTTTGCTTTAGTGGTGTTTAAACTTCACATATTATCAGGGTTCTCCACAAGGGGTTTTACCATGGCGGCCCACCTTGGTTAAATTTATGTGCGCCATGGTTAAAGGAGCAGCGCCATGGTTAAAATTGGCGGCCGCCATGATTAAATTTTTATTGTATTTTAGTATGTACACCCACTTTTTAATGACTTGAGTAGTTAATTGTGTTTATACTACGACTGCCATGCATCTCGCATGCCTCGAAGGAAAGTGGACTGTGCTAAACAAACACGGCCTCTGATCGGTGACTATGCTGTGAAGCGTGACAATGGAGAGTCAATCAGCTGATGATCAATATCTCGTGAATTAATTATCCTGTACACATACATGTAATTTTGGGAAATTCCAACGTGTTCACTATACGATAACAGATTTACAAAAAATGACACGAGCAGTAATTAACAACATGATAGTCAACAAGCATCCGATTTCTATGCCAGAAAAAAAAAATGAGCCCTTTCAAAATTTCCTTTTCTTTGTATTTAATCAATTCCTCACGCTTTGTTTTTAAGTACCGGTCGTTTTTATGAAACGTCGCGTGGCGCTATTTTTAGCACTTGGGCACGTGGAGGAATAAACAATAGAGGAAACTCGGCGGAAATGCAATATGTAGAAAAAAAGAACGTTTAGAAAAAGACAGATTAGACAAAGCAAAATTACAGTTATGCGAATTTATGCCCCTGGTTATACTAAGTTACTTTTACCATGCATGCCACCAGTAAGTTTTCACAGTCCATGCAGTTAAAAAAAAGCTTAGGCATTATTGTAGGATGTCAGCGTTCGTTCGTTTGTGTGTGTGTTAATTTTTTTTTCTTCAAAGTACTACCAATTCATCAGTTTTAGTCATATTTAAATAAAACGTTTCATATAACAGGCAACATTATCAATTCTGTATATCAGTTTTTGAATACTGTTGCCATGGTTACTCTATCAAAATATTATTTTGATGAAATTCCTTCAAAATGTTTCTACAGTTTTGGACCAATTTTGGTGCATTTGTAAAGTAAGATACATAATCTTTTTTACTTTTATTTTTTAGCTTAAAAATTATTGGTTATTTCAACTTTTTGTGCTGCAGTGGTATAGTTTTGTGAATTAACCAGTCATTGATTAATGAAGGTTAGGAAGTCTAACGTGCATTCTTGTTTTTGGCCGCATTGCGCCTTCGCGCAGCTTCTTCCATGGTTAAATTTTCAAATGTGGAGAACCCTGATTATGTAAAGGAAATATGCATGCAGTCTATGTGAAAGTTTTTTGGACCACACAGGACATTTGGTCCTGTGTAATCAATGAACACACAGGACCGAACCGAATTTTGTCAGTCCAAAAAACTTAATATAAAAAGTGAAACACATGAAAATACAGAGTAGTAGACTAGCTTAACAGCTTTTCTTTAACAAGGGATCAC